TGCGCTTGCTTCCCGCGGGAAGGCCAATCTCTCCATGCGCCTTGATCACCACTGCTGCGGAGGGTGTCAAGATGTCAAAAAGGAAGAACAGAACCGAGGGGAGGACGTAAAAGAAGAGTCGCACGGCCACGGTACCAAACAATTCAACCCTGAGAGGAGGATGCGACAGCACAAGTGTCGACCATGTCATGAAGAAGAATAATAAGTTGAGACTTGTGCTGTAAGAGGAAATCGTAGGAATAAGAAATAGCGAAAGGACCGGCAGGGAGAAGAGCGCATCCATTTTGTTTGCGATCTGCGCATTAGCCGTCGATATGAGTGTTAGATGTGTGTATTTGATTCAACAATTGCATATTCTAGGGTTTGTAAACGAATTATTATTGTAGAATATGCAATCTCCTGCCTGCGACTTGCAGATGTGTCTGACATGGCGATATTGTGGCTGGGGTCCGCAAGTAAATACTAAGTAGGGCACGTTTCGCTGGTTGCGGAGATCCGATAGTTAAGCTTTACGTCACTGTCAGCAAAACTACAGGAATGCCGGAACGAAGAACAATGCAATTTGTTGTTCTTGCTGAATTGACGACGTCTTGCTGATTGGAAAACGGGACTTCTTAAAATGAAGGTAGAGGTCTGATCGTTCGAAGACCATGTTCAGGTAAGGACAAAGAATGAAAAGGACGCTGTTATCTACATCAAGACTATATATATTGCTTCACCGTGACGGTCAGATCACTCATTCCGGGCAGTTATCTGTCGCCATAATTCTCGACTCGGGTTCAATCATCCCAACAAGTTCCTTACAGATTTACGAGGTAGATAATGACAATAGGTACTGACGTGCTTGGCTCCCGCACGTGCATTCGTTATTGATTTGCAAAGTCCGAATATGACACAAGAGTATAATTGAACAACTAGGCGATGAGCAATTACCAAGTAGAACAGAATAACAATAGTATTTCATTTAATCAATTCGATGTCTCCGGCTTAAGCACAGGATCATCACAAATAACGATAAGAGGCAAAACAAAATGCTCGAGGGTATCTAAGAATACACCGCACAATAGGAACATGACGATACCAAACTCCTACTTCGACTGAGATGATGGAACGCCATTCTTCAAGCCCCAATTGAAAGCCTTCTTTCGGAGATCAGGAATCACCTGCAGGAATACCAGGTTACTGAGCCAGCTGGTCAGAGTGTCGGCAATGATCGAATTCCTAGGGCTGGCACCAAGAGCGCTCGCTTTCATCATGTGGCCGACAAACATCGTAGTAATCAAATAGTCGCCTTTCTCCAAGCCTTGGATCGATGCCTTGGCGACTTCGATCGGACGCTGTGGCTTGTCGGCAGCTTCCAGCTCCTTTGTAAGTTGAGGCTTGAGTCCTTGCTCGTTGTCAAAACCGGGGCTGAGAATGCCCATGGGAAAGATAGTGTGTATCTTGACATCGGCCGGTGGAGCTGCATTTCTGGCTCTCGCTGCCCGAGCACCGTTGTACACCTCAATCTCTTGACTCAAAGTATCGGCCAGAGACCGAATCGCGGCCTTGGCCGGAGAATAGGGAGCGTATCCCGCAATGGAGACAAAAGCAAGAGTGGAACAGGTGAAGATAAGATGTCTCTGAGGCAACGGTACCTGCTGGCTGGGAGGAATGGGCGCGAGCCAGCTCTTGAGAGTGGCATGTGCTGTATTCGCAGCGGTCCAATATACGGTGTCCATCTGGCTTCGCAGCGTGTTGACCGGGGTTTCGACGAAGAAACCAGGCTCACAGTAGCCAGCGCAACACCAAACGACATCCGGAGCGAGACCATGATTCCACTCAGTGACTTCGGCAATAACACGTTCGCATTCTGCGGCATCTGTCAAGTCGGCACTGATATAGTGGAATCTTTGTTTCTTGACGTCTTGGGCGGTTCCCTGCACTAATGTGAGCGCCATAGATTGAAGGCGGAGACTGGGAGACTGTCTACCTTAATGGCCTCCAGAGCTTCCCTGAGCTTTTGGACGGTGCGGGCCACGATAACGACGTTGGCACCTTTTTCGGCGAGCTGGCACGCCACAGCCTTGCCCATTCCATCGGAACCACCAGTGACAACGATAGTCTGCAGAGAAATGTTCAGCATGCCGCACGGCCTAAAATGAGAGTTCCCAACGTACCCGACCCTCAACGGGGAAATGGTTTGTTCGAAAGCCGAACATTTTGGATACGCTATATACGATAAGGCCGCAGAGAATGAGTGAAATTCCCAGTGCAGCGGGGGATGCGTTGGACGGTATAAACGAATGAATTTGAGACATGAGAATAGAATCAAGTGAGAAAGATTCGGAAGAGAAGAAGAAACTGGCTATAAAGAAAATCAATGAACCTAGTTTAGATGGGCCCCTGCCTGAAGGTTCGTCTGTTTCTCAACTTGTGAAGAAGGAGCTCACAACAAAAAGTTCCTGGATACCTGAGGCAAAAATTCCCGTACTCGCCGATACCAGCTCTCTGGTTGTTGGTAACTATTGGGCAATGTCCCGCCCGTATCGATTGGTAAATAGACAAATAGAACAAACATACTTGACACAGTTTAGCGCCGCGACGGCGGTGAGAGGAAATCCCAAAATTTTACCGCAAAAGTTATCAACTCGATACAGTCGATCTTGGTCAAAATAAGCCCACGTTGTCAATTTTCCTCGAAAATGGCTAAGAAAAGGAAGGCGGGCGGTCGCCCTGCGAAGCAGAACTCCGCTCAGGAGACTGAGCGCTCAAAGTTTGCTTTCGAGGAAAGGTTCGACGATTCTGAGGATGAGTTCCAAGCGGGCCGCGACCACATTTTGCTGGACGAAGCCCCGGAGGCAAAGAGACGGAGGAAGATGGCAGAGCAAGGTTTGTCTGAGTAGTTGCATTTTGGACCCATCCTGTCCGTTCCTGACTTTGTGTTCTATAGAGGAAGCGCTTCAGCCATCCGACGAGGAGATCATGGGCTACGAGTCTATGGACGAAGACGACCTAGACGACGAGGAAGATTACGATGAAGATGTCTATGAAGATGAGGATGATGATGATGACATAGGGCTAGGTTCATCGAAGGCCAAAAAGTCCCGCCGTGGCGGTAGTCCTGGCTCGAATGCTTCAGAAGATGAGGAGGGCATTGCTGCGTGGGGAACGTCCAAGAAGGATCTTTACAACGCCGACCAAATCGAGACCGAAGCAGATGCGCTCGAAGAAGAGGCGGAAGCAAAGCGACTTCAACGGAAGCACCTACAAGCCATGAACGAGGAAGACTTTGGCTTCGACGAAACAGAATGGGTTGAATCTGACAAGAAGGAAGACGCAGAAGATGAGGCTGGTGTGATAACGGAAGTTCTTCCGCAGGTGGAGATTACAGACGACATGAGCTCAGAAGAGAAACTCAAAATCCTAAAGACGAGATATCCCGAGTTCGAGCCATTGGCGAAAGATTTTGCCGATCTTCAAACAAAACATGCCGAGCTCGAAAAAGCTGCCAAGGCCGTGAAGGCGCCGGAAGACGAGGAAGCGATATTGGGACCAGCTCCGGCTCCCGTCATCAAATTCCGTGCTCTGTCAGCCTACCTTGGAGCGATTAGCATGTACTTCATGCTCTTATCGTCATCTCAGGACGCATCTGGAAAACCATCTCCTCTGCCGCCCGCTCAACTACGAGCTCACCCAGTCATGGGGTCATTAGTCAAGTTCAGGAAGCTCTGGGAGACGGTCAAGGATCTTTCCGTTCCTGAAATCCCCAAGGAGGATGCTACGAAGAAGCAAGAGAGCAAGCAGCACTCAGATGCCCCTCTATCGACAACCAAGGAGCAAGTCCGGAAGAGCAAGCAAGAGCAAGAATCAAAGAAGAAGAAGAAGAACGAAAAGAAACAATCTAAAGCGCAGCGCGCAGCCGAGGCCGCACAGGCGGAAGCCGAAGCCCGCAGAGCGGAGAAGCTGCGCGAGACAGAAGCGAACCTTGCAGACCTTTCGAAACTCGTCACGGAGCCCATCAAGAAGCGCAAGAGCCAAAAAGCGAAGTCAGCACGGGACGCCGAAGACTCCGACTTTGGTGATGAGGATGCTCTTACCGCCAAGGAGGCCGAAGAAAAGGCCAGGCAGAAACGCTCGCTGCGTTTCTACACCTCCCAGCTTGCACAGAAGGCCAACAAACGCAATGCAGCTGGCCGAGATGCTGGTGGTGATGCGGATCTGCCTTATCGCGAGCGGTTGAAGGATCGTCAGGCTCGCTTGAACGCTGAAGCCGAGAAGCGTGGTAAGCAAAGACCAGACAAGATGGAGCAGCTTGGCGGCGACAGTGATGAGGAAGACCATCGACTCGCCAAGGAGATCAGGGACGGCGAGGCCGGAACCGAAGATGACGAGTATTACGATATGGTCGCGGCCCGCTCCAAGCACAAGAAGGACGAAAAGAAGGCGCGCGCAGAGGCTTATGCGGCCGCAGCCCGCGAAGGTGGACGCGTGGAGATCCAAGAGGAGGTTGGACCAGACGGCAAACGTGCCATCACCTACCAGATCGAGAAGAATAAGGGTCTTGCGCCGAAGCGCAATAAGGATTCCCGCAACCCCCGTGTCAAGAAGAGGAAGAAGTTCGAAGAGAAGAAGAAGAAGCTCGGCAGTATCCGCCAGATTTACAAGGGAGGTGAAGGTCCTGGTGGCTACGGTGGTGAACTTACTGGTATCAAGAAGAACCTGGTCAAGAGTGTCAAGCTATAGATCATCGTTCACTTCTCTTTGGATACATGCACTGTGGGCGTTCATTGTGTTCTCTAAAATATGGGTTTGCGTGTACATATATAATTCATCTGATGATATACACCTTTCAATCTCTCACATTCTACTTTGCTCCTGCACCTCCATCCTCTCCACGTTTTCATCAGATAATGATACTCAGCATTCGCAAAGCAAAAGTAAGCCAATACCACACTCGAGTAGAAGAAAATTGGTAACATGAAGCTCCAACGCAATCACTCCAGGAGGTATACCATACGTTATTCTTCCGTATTAGCAAAGAGGGACTCTAGCATGTCTCTCACCCCTTCAGCATCGCAAGTGTTCGACAAGTCCCAGGCCAGAAAACGCCTCGCTAAGACATCCTAGATTCAGGAAAAGTTACCATCAGCCTTCCGCATTGCCCCAGATATGAGATAAGCCTACCGCTTCAGCCAGAGTCTCTGTCTCCTCAGCCGACAAAGTGGCACAAGCCGCGATCAGATTTTCGCCGCGAGCGGAGAGAGCAGCGAGCTCATTTGCCCGGTCAACGATCGTCTGACTTATCCCGTTCATTGCTGCGCAACTGCTCAGATAAGCATCTTAGGGTAAGATCGATTATTGGAAGAGGCACATACATCGTCCCGAAACTTTTGTTACTACGACCCGGACGGAAACTGTACTCGATATGGATCAGATATCATGGAGCCTTTGAATTGACCTGAGAGTATGCACGGGACCATACTTATAGAGATAGGTGATCTGGTCTTCCACTTGGCAAGCCTCCCCAGAGATGCGAACTTCCATATGTCCCAGCTGGAGTCTAGGCCTTGGCTGAAGGAATCCGTTTTCGAATATTTCGTGAAAATGCGTTGCCGCGATAACCTTCGGGGCGTCCTTGAGGCTCAGCAAATGCTCGAGTATCCCGCAAGCGAGCCCGATGCCATCTGCGAGTCATAGTTAAGTCCTGGCAGAGTGCTGGAAATATTGGAGAGACACACCACTTTCGTTGGTTCCCTTGCCGAATTCATCGATTAGGAGTAAGCTTCGCCCCGTCACCTGTTTCAGATCAAAGGAGATTTGCTGTAGGTCGTTCATGAATGTGCTTTGGATCTGGTGCTAGTCAGCTGCTTATCTTCGCTGTTAAGTCACGAAATCATACTTTTGACACGCTCTCTTGGGAGTTCATTTTCACCAGAATCTTGTCAGTCACTCCGATTTCTGCCTTCTCTGCTGGAACGAAGCTGCTACAATCAATTTGCTGTCACATAGTATGATTATAGCACATACCTTCCGACTTGTGCCAGATATACGTTCAGAGCGACCTGTCTCTCAGCTGAAGCCACAGATACATGTATACCGGAGATCCATACCTGTTTCATGTAGACGCTTTTTCCAGAGTAATTGGGACCGGTAAGAATAAGCATACTTGGGCCATGGAGGTTTTCCAGCACCTTCTGTGAGACTCGACTTTCAGTCTCCGAACTGCCTCCTACTAAGAACGTATCATTTGGTACGTATGATGGGACTGTCAACTCCTGAAGTATGTGCCTTGGATATGTCAACGAATTAGAAAAATAAAGTACCAGGACGATCTCACCTGCCACCTTTGATCCTGATCATTTTCTCCTCCACCATCCTGGGCCGAACCATATTATAGAAACTTGCTGCTTGAGCCATAGCAAGGAGACTGAAAGCATGAGTCCAAATCATCAATATGCGTGTCAAAGCATTACCTGTCAATATGGCCACACATATCTGACGCTTGCACGAGCACATCCTTATGTTGCAGAACCTTCTGCGCAAGATCATAAACAATCTCAATTTCCTTTTCTAGAGAAGCATGCAAGTTAGCTTATGGTCACAGTAAAATAGACCTCTGTGGAATACCACAAATCAGCCCATATATGTCGCCCAAGCTCTGGTCCATCTCCCTCATCCTGAAGTCCTTAAAGTATGCTCGATTCTCAGTAACAAATATAAGCTCCCAGTCATCAGCAGTGCCGCTGTAAGCTGCCTCACCCCTGTCGTTGAGTGGGACTGCAATATTGAACCCCAGCTGGGGGAAGTATATCACGTTCACGTCAATATCGAGGCTTTCGGGGATCGTCGCTGCTATCTCTGTCGCAACTTCTTTCAAGAGATCGTTCAAACCGTCATAGGTGTCTTTCATCCGGTCAAGTTCTCGGTCTAAACCTGGCTTCACAACTGTTCTACCTTGGTCTTCTGAACAATCAATGTCGACCTGTGGAAAAGAATTAGCTGGGGCGTCGCCAAATTCTGAGAGGGCTATACAATTTCCTGAATCATCCTTCCTACTCGATACAATTGAGATGCTTCAAATACACGGAGAGCCTGAACATTATTAGTCTGTTTGCAGCATTTCCATAGATGGTTGTACCTGAGTACGCAAGTTCAGATTATCTGCACCGAATGTCTCCTTCAACGCGTCATGAATATCGATGCCATAAAAGGCGAACTGAGCGATATTAGCCAGTAACGTACAGATTGCACGTACGCAGACGTACAGCAAGTAGTGTAGCCCAAACTGTTGTCTTGAAACCGGTGATCTTAGCACTTCCCGTACTGATGCCCTTTTGGAGGTTGATCATCACGGGCCGAAGGTTTTTGATATGCTTCAAACCCTTCACAATTTTATTCAAAGTATTATAGTTATCCTGTCTCAGGTAGACACTGATAAAGTCATGTCGCTCGCTGATAACGTTCATTTCGACACTTGGGCGAAGGAACATCTGTCTAAGCCGGTTTCTCCCCTGTGGAGTATGTGCGAAGCGCTGAAACAAGCCATATACGGAGAGGCCTTCTTTCGAGGCTGGTGACTTTCTTCCGGGGCCTTGATTGAGCATACTGGGATGTGACTCGGACTCTGTGATTTGCAGGGAAAGTAAGGTGCTTCTGTTGATGAACCTACAACACTGTCAGAACGCATCTCGCAATCATGGACTTGAGTTTCTAGGTCTCACATGGTTCCTTTGAGGCTGAACATCTCCACAGAGCGGACCTGATATGCTCCAGTGGACCCAAGCGTAGTGATAGAGTCGGTAGTTCTGCGCCTTTGGATGTATGCGAGGACAGCCCCGGCACAGCCTATGGTAACGGGATTCTCCATATCGATGGAGCTTGCCATGTGCAGAAGTCTTCCCTCCTGAAGTGTAAAACCCAAGCTCTCCGCATCCAGTTGCTCCGGGTCAATCAATCCATTGTGAGGAACAAAGAACTTAATCCGTTGTTCGTGAGCTGATGCAACCTCCAGAGCCGCCAATTTAGCTGTAGCATTGGAATGGCCGAATTCTTGTGACGGGCGTATATCGAGTTGATAAGGCAGGTAACGATGAATGCCTACAGAGCCACCAATTAGCTCTATGTAAACGCAAGCTTTATCAAGAATCAGCATACCATCTTGTTCGGAGCTTTGTGACGTATTCAAGTAGTCAACGCGAGCTGAGGTAAGGAGCACAGTGGGCTTCGTCTGTTCGATCACTAGCCTGTTGTCAGAGCTTTCTTCAGGGCCAAATGGGATATCATGACCAACAGCTATCAATTGCTTCATTACTTGAAGATCGTATGTCTCCTAAGAGGTAGAGTCTTTCTTCCTGAGCTGAGTAGTAAGAGCAACCGACGGTGCCTGATTCTCGAATATCGATTGCGACAATGACCGGCTCAAGGTCGTCGTCAGAAGGCCTCTCCAATGAGCTATTACGGGCCCTGTGATCTGTCTCATTGATTGAATGAAGCGGTCCTAATGCAGAAGTTCTTCGCGAATTGGAGCTGAGATTGTCTGAAATATTCGGTCTCTGGCGAAAGGGCACGGATTCGTCCGTACGGGTGTTTCTCGAATTGCGAGAATGTGGCGTAATGTATGACTGATACGCCGTGCGTCTTCTTTTCGTTTGAGACGACATATTGGATTGAGATTCGTTAAGGTAGCAGATGCTGATGACATTATTGATCCAGGGGGCGTTGACCTGCCTCCATTGTTGGTTAGTCTTAAGCCTCAGGCTTCCAGGGTCCATATGGTCCTGATTGCTACAGTTCTGAACCACGAGACATTTCATTTGTTCAATGCAATTTTTTCTTCATGTTACTCATATAATGTACACAAGAGGAGATGCTATTGTACATATCCCATGAAAGATAAACTCCATCAAAGCCAAGGGCGCCAGATCTTGAGCCAGCCAAGAAAAATGCACACCGATACACCAGCACCGACAAACAAATATACTCCCTTACATTAAAGAAATCATGCCTTTTCCTCCTTTGCACCGTCTGCTGTGACTTCAAGCGCGGTCTTGTCCGCGTTGAACGAGATGACGGCAGTTTGTCCCGAGGTCAATTCACCACGGATGATCTTATCAGCGAGCCTATTACCAATCTCCTTGGCGATCAAGCGATTAAGAGGCCGAGCACCATACTTGGGATCATAGCCCTTCTCGCAAAGCCAATCTTTGATCTCGTTGTCGACTTGCAGGACAATGCGGCGGTCATCAAGCCTTGCCTGGAGTTCCTTGATTCGGATATCAACGATATCCCGCAACGCCTCTCGTGAAAGTCTCTTGAAGATGATGAACTCATCGATACGATTGAGGAACTCCGGAGGATAGGCACTCTGCACGACTTCCATAACCGCCTGTTTGATGTCAGGGGAGAGTTCGGCATCGCCGTAGTCCTTAAAGGAATGCAATGGGTTCGCGCCAACAAGGATGTCAGCACCGAGGTTCGAAGTCAAGACTATGAGGGTATTCCTGAAATCGACTTTGTGACCTTGGGAATCCGTTAGGAAGCCTTCGTCTAGAACCTGCAGCAGCAACGCGGAGATGTCACGATGAGCCTTTTCAAACTCGTCGAACAACAGGACTGCGTATGGTTTCCGTCTCACAGCCTCTGTGAGCTGTCCGGCATCATCGTAACCGACGTATCCGGCAGGTGACCCAATAAGACGGCTGATTGTGTGTTTCTCCTGGAATTCGCTCATATCGAATCTCAAGACGGCAGTCTCAGTTGAGAACAAAAACTCGGCCATCCTCTTGCAGAGTTCTGTCTTTCCAACACCGGTAGGACCCAAGAACATGAACGATGCCAGCGGACGATTCTGACCACTCAGACCTGCTCTCTGCATCCGCACAGCGTTGGCGACGGCAGTGAGAGCTTCGTCCTGTCCACGAACCGACTGTCTAAGCGTATCCTCCATGTGGATGAGTTTCTCCACCTCTCCAGCCATGAGCTTGTTGACAGGGATGCCGGTTGTCCGAGACACGACATTCGCGATGTCGTCCGGGGTCACAGAGTCATGAATCAATGTCGTACCTCCTGCGGCCGCCTCCTCGCCCTCTTTGGGCAGTTTCGCCTCAAGGCTTGGAATTGTCGAATATCTCAACTCTCCAGCCTTCGCAAAATTTCCCTCCCTCTGTGCTTGATCGAGCTCAAACCGAGCACGTTCAAGTTCTTCCTTAGTGCGCTTGAGGGACTCGATCTCTGCCTTCTCCTTCTCCCAAACCTCGGTTAGTTTTGCAGATTCTTCTTGCTTGGCCTTCAGGTCCTCCTGCAGCTTTTCGCGTCGCTCACGACTACTGATGTCAGTCTCCTTGCGCAGAGATTCAAGCTCGATCTGGATAGTAGTGATTTGACGATCTAATTCTCTAATCAAATCCGGCTTTGACTCTTGCTGTAGTCGCAGAGCCGACGCTGCCTCGTCAACGAGATCAATCGCCTTATCGGGAAGGAACCGGTCAGTGATGTAGCGGTTGCTGTACGTTGCTGCGGCGACTAGGGCTGCGTCGGTAATCCGCACACCGTGGTGTACTTCGTATTTGTTCTTGATACCACGCAAGATGGAAATTGTAGCCGCGACTGACGGCTCGCCGACTTGGATGGGCTGGAATCGTCGTGCCAGAGCGACATCTTTCTCGATCAATCTGTACTCGTTAAGAGTGGTGGCACCACAGCACTGCAGTTCACCTCTGGACAGTGCTGGCTTGAGAAGGTTACTAGCATCAATGCTGCCCTCAGCCTTGCCTAGCCCAAGCAAAGTATGAAGTTCATCGATGAAGAGAATAACGCCACCTTGCGCGTCCTCAACTTCCTTGAGAACCGACTTCAAACGTTCTTCAAAGTCACCCCGGAACTTTGCACCGGCAATGAGCGAGCCAAGGTCAAGGGCAATGACACGCTTGTCCTTGATGCTTTCTGGAACATCCCCCTGCACGATTCGCTGAGCCAATCCTTCCAGAATCGCAGTTTTGCCAGTACCAGCCGCTCCGATAAGGACGGGATTGTTCTTCGTTCTCCTCGATAATACTTGGATAGTGCGGTGGATTTCCGAATCTCTTCCAATAACTGGGTCGAGTTTCCCTTTCTTGGCCTTCTCCGTGAGATCGACACCAAATTGTTCCAATGCGGACTTCTCTGGCTCGCCGCCCAGATTCATTCGATGTGTACCACCCGGGGGATGCGGTCGTCCATTAGCATAGTGGCGAACTGCAGATATCGACCGCAGGGCGGCAGTGAGGGAAGCCCTAGGGAGAAGGGACTGTGTTTGTGGGAGACAATGTAATGTCTGGGGAGGACGGAATACACGGTTCGGTGATAGAGCGGGCGTTCGAAGAAGCCGCGCTCGAGCGAGCTGCCTCGATGCCATGGCGGTTTTGTTGATAGGACGAGCAGCTGAATTCAATTTTCAATCGTAGGTTTCAGTAAAGTACAAGATAAAAATTGAAGGCAAGTGTTATATACCCCGAGTCCCCTGCCGGTCCCAAGGTGATCCAAGCATCCTGATGCTTCTCGAAAGCTCCACCTTTGTGAGCGCTGTGAGTGGCGGAAGCTCTCCAGCAGAACCGACCAAGCTCCGTCACCTCCCAGATCACGTGTAGGGCCCATCGAGGGGCTTTTTTCGCACCTAACCCGCTTTTGCCCAGGACCCTCCTTGGGAGAAAAAAAAAACTTCTTCTACTGGACACCTCACCCCTCTCCTATTTATTGCTTCTTCTTTCCCCTCTTCTTTTCTCACCACACACATATTTTTCAATTCTCTATATCATATCACAATGGGTTTCACCGACTTCGTCTCTGAGGCTGGCCTCACCCGTATGTCTTCTTTTTATTCTTTTGCCTCTGGTCAGTAGCTAATGGTGCCCCTCAGTTGCCAACAACTACCTGGCTAGCAGGAGCTACATCGTTGGGTAAGACTCACATCTTTCGGGCTTTCTCCATAAAATGTATCCCCCAAGCACAAGCTTCACCTCGATTGCATGATGAAAACAAATTGGTCCGTGTTTAGGAGGCGGCTTAAGACCCCGCCGGATGACTACACAACAATTGCGAGAAATCGTGTTTCTGATTACGAGGAAGAATCTGCGTGCTATTCTTGAGACCAACACAATTTGTGCTCAAAGAAGCAATACCTAGATTCGTGTTGACTAACATGTCAAAATAGCGATGCTCCTTCCCAGGCCGATGTTGTGACCTTCAAGGCCTTCTCTGGCGCCCCTGACGCTGAGAAGTACCCTCACGTTGCTCGCTGGTACAAGCACATTGCTTCTTTCGAGCCTGAGTTCTCCAGCCTTCCCGGTGATGCCTCCAAGGCCTACACTGCCTATGGCCCCGAGAGCACCGAGCTGCCCACCAACCCCAAGGACAAGCCCGCTGCTGAGGACGACGACGACATGGACCTCTTCGGCAGTGACGAGGAAGAGGAGGACCCTGAGGTTGTTGCCCAGCGTGAGGCTCGCCTTGCTGAGTACAAGAAGAAGAAGGAGGGCAAGGCTAAGCCTGCTGCCAAGTCCATTGTGACTCTCGAGGTTAAGCCTTGGGGTATGTTTGACCGCTGATAGCCCCCATTTCTGACGTGAAACTAATTGCGCTTGTTTAGATGACGAGACCAACCTCGATGAGCTCCTCGAGAATGTCAAGGCCATCGAGATGGATGGTCTTGTCTGGGGTGCCTACAAGTGGGTTCCTGTTGGTTTCGGTATCAAGAAGCTCCAGATCAACCTTGTCGTTGAGGACGAGAAGGTTTCTCTGGACGAGCTTCAGCAGCGGATTGAGGAGGATGAGGACCACGTCCAGTCCACCGATGTCGTAAGTTTCAACCTTTGGTCTGACGGCAAGACAATAGATGCTGATATTACCTCACAGGCCGCTATGCAGAAGCTGTAAATGAAATGCCCGTTATGAAGACCAACGGTGTGATGATGGAATATTTATGCGACTTGTAGTGTCATGAAACAACTAGAAGTCGACTGGAGCAGTCGCCAGTCGTTTTGATGAAAATCAAATTCAATGCACAGAATACCCACATTCATCCGTCTCCTGTTGTAGCACAGAACCTGCCAGTAAACTTGAATATAGAGGGATACCCATTGGGCCTAGCCGTTCTTATTCCACTTCAGATCGGCATACGGTCAGGAGTTCTTCCAATCCGAAGCTTCAGATGCGCCATACCAACCGCCTTTCATATACCTAGGTAGTATAGCCTCAAGCTGCCGATTGAAAAAAGAAGTAATATCTTACACCTGGCTTCGCATCTCAATATGAAAACACTCCCAAAACCGTGAAATCGCAACTCTCCTTTTAACGCCGCTGTACAACCGTGGAATAATTGGTATCATCTTCATACGCCAAACATGAACTGCGCTGCTGCAACGAGAAACAGACGTTTCACCCGTAAACATCACATTCTTGCAGTCCTCGAAGGTTCAATTCTTTTGGGCAGCGCAAACAGCAACCGTTCCTGCTTCATCTCATTAGCAAGGCCTGGGTTAGTCGTTTGTTTGGCTGCGTTGAGCCATTCTGCTTCGGGATGTGTAAAACAGAAAAATGTAAAAGATACCAGCTTCAGATGTTGAAATTTCGGAAAATTTCTCTTGCCCATTTGTATCTTCTCTAACTTTTTCAAGGACAGCTCCCTCAGTAAATTCAGTAGTCTTTTTTGGACGGCCTGAACGTTTGCCATCTTCCACATATTCCGGCAGAATACGGAAATCAACCGCTGGATTGTAGCCTCGCTCTCTAGCTTTCTTAACCCAGTATTGAATGGTTTGACGCGATAGACCAAGGCTTGCCTCGACCACCTTGATGTCAACACCAATGGTCATCATAGTTAAGGCTTGGACGCGTATGGTAATCGGATAAGGCATCTTAGGTTTATGTTCCATTTTAGCGGTCTCAACAAAGGAGGTAGGCCGGCAAGCAGATATGGTGAATTGCAGGAGAGAGTTGCATCGAACGCGGATTCGATCGGGGAGATCAAAAGGGGCTCTAAATTGCTTTTTCTTAGGATAATGATAAATCGAGCCACTTGAGGCTATGAGGCACTGTTTTGAAGACTAATAGGCAGGTCTCCCTAATAATTTTGCTGGTACTATCTACTATGTATGCATGTCTTGCCAAGCTTAGGTACGAGCGGCCAAAGACTAGAACCACACCGTATTTTGTAGGTACCTAAGTGCGTATCATGATCCTCCGGTCACCCGTACAAGCTAGTGCACAATTGGTCGACAACATCGTAGCTCAGTGGGTAGGAACCTTACATGGAAGCTGTCTACTCCTAGTCTACACAGGCACTATCTGCATTACATCTTTCACACGCACTTGTCGATTGCATTGATTGACCGCCGACCTATCCACAAATCCGACCTGTTCGTGAGAAACCCGCCAAACCGGCCACCATGGGCTTCATATCGCGAATACTCACACTCTTTGGGCTCGTTCTGCTCGCACATGCGTATGTCATATCTTTCGTACCGCCAACTACTCCAGAAGACTAACCAACTGAATCTAAATCCGCAGAGGCTACTCCGCCCACGAACACACAGTCCTGTACAGCAATGTGCGCCTTTCCTCGGCCTCCACCGCTCTTCCCCATGATATCGTCATCGAGGCCTTGGTCTCCCTCGTCATCGTCTCCGCGGGCCTCGTGCTAGGCACAGAGAAACTCAAGCCGATTAGCTGGAGCGAATGGGCTGGGGAGATTGAGAGGGAAGGCGGCGCCAGGAATCCTTATCTGCGGCTGGAGGAGCGATACGGTTTCTGGGATATTAGGGTGAGTTGACTTTTCCTTTTGGTGTCAGTTTGACCTGGGCTGATTCGGTCCTAGGCGAAGAGGAAGGAATTCGCTGAATGGGTTCGGGGGAATGATGCCTTGGAGGAAGCGAAATGAGGAAAATCAATATCTTGAGATGAGGGTATGTGACGGTACATTGATAGATCGCCTCGATTATAATGGATGACGGCATCTGCCTCAGCATCATGAATGTTTTCTGCGCTATCCTTAGTATTTCCGAACGCACTCGATGATCAGGTTCTGATGATTTCCGGTGTATGCTTCAGAAGCATTTCGAGAACTGGTCACACACTACGGCTTTGACGATAGTCTAGGATGCTATGAAGACCATCTCAATGACGAGATGAAATGAGGTACAGGCCGTTACATGAAAGTACACTCCATGGCTTGCCAAGGTCTATGCAGTAGGCGAACGCTTCGCTTATTGGGGCCATCAATGAAAGGCCGATGCACCACTAATCTAGCTGGCAAGTTGGAGAAGTGGACCGTGAGAGTCAGTCGCGAGTCAGATCTAAACAACCTATACTCCGAGCAGCCATGTGCTAGTGGCAAGCCGCTTGCAAAGGGGACTTGATTCGATATCATCATTTCGAGGACTGGCTTAAGGGTCATAAACAGAACATTTCGACAAGTTCTCCTTTCTATGATAATGTTTTCGCACAGATGTACCACAGACAGGCACCGTCTCATTAGTATGGGCTGATCCGTGGAAGCAGAACGTCATTCATGTGTAGAATATTGGAGAGCAATGCTATGTTTAATCACACCGTGAGCAGGAAGGGACATCATATCCTTCTGCTTTGCACCCAGAGATGCGGATTGTGGTAGCCCGCGGATGGTACTTCAACTGATGAATAGCGGGATGATTCCTCCATTATTTTTCAACTTACTGCTGAGTAAATGAAACTCCAAATAATTCGAACGAGTGCTTTATCAGGAACAGAATCCGACTGTCATATGATGTTCAAAAGCATGAGGCACTGCCGGGATCAAGAAGATATGAGGATGAGATTTGTGTGGAGGAGACAATTGCCTCATACAATTAATCTCCGCGTGGCCCTTGCAGGTGTGCCCATGGCATTGGCTGTCCTTACTTGCTGAAATAGCCTTATCTCTGTCAATTGAAGCTAGTCGATGTCAGGTAATTTTATCGCGGAACTCTAAGTGTTATTGAGCTCCGTACGGTATGGTGGGAATGCGCGGGATTTATCGCATCCAATATCCACCACTATCCAGAACTCTTACAGCTGCCACACCCGTCTCACCTAACCAAACATAATCAAACCCTATCTATATCGATGATGAGAATGGCAGAGCTAACATACTGGTTCGGACTTTTGCTTCCAGACTACAGTCAAAACTCAAGCATGTTGGACGATTCCTGGACGCGTGTCGAGGCCTTAAAATGTAGCCTGCTCCCCTGCTGAGGAAGAGCTTTACGCCTTTCCGTTTTTGTTGACACGCAGAAAAAGCATCCAGCTACCATGGCAAACGCAGACGCATCGAGCGACGACACTGACGCTGTCTTCCCTGCTTCCTCTGGCGGCGGTGTGTTCCCGTCCCGGCCAACACATTACGAAAACCCTCTGCAGCGTAAGCTCACTAACAATCCGAAGATTGTGGATGTTGAGCTAGCATCTGTCACCGAGGGAGGAGATTATGATGAGAGGGACTTTCACAAGAAACAGGTGAGTGATGGTGTAAAATGTGTTTTTGCAGGATACTGATGGCCCACAGGTGTTCAGCGGATGGACACTAGCTTGGTGTGTAACCAGTCCTATACCTCGATGCTAGTACATGCTGTTAAATTCTGATAATGATCAGGCTGTCATACCAATCCCTCGGTGTCATCTATGGAGATATTGGGACCAGCCCGCTGTATGTCTACTCATCCACATTCAGCAGTGAACCGAGTCGTGAAGACGTCCTCGGGGCGGTCTCCTTAATTATCTGGTCCCTCACCATCATGGTCACGGCCAAATATGTTTGCATTGTGTTGAACGCAGACGACGAGGGCGAGGGTGGTACATTTGCCTTGTACTCGCTAATCTCCCGCTATGTATGGTGTGATTTGCTCATCGACGACTGAACTTCTGTACTCATTGAGAGATAGGCCAACCTAGTTCGCCGCGATCCTCGTCACCACAATGTCTTCGAGTCTGTACTGATTCAATTTAAGACGGTGTTCTGACACCGGAGACGTTATTGGTATCCTCTACTGGGACGAGGTGCTTTTATTTCCTGGCACTCATTATTTTCTCTCTATTATACCTATTGCAGCGAGCCCTAGACTAGTGCCTGATACCGTCAATGTCAAAAGCGGTATTGAAGTCACCTTATAGCGATACCGTCCGCAAAATTGCCACGCTGTGGACGAAGTCGGAGCGATTCTTCGAATTCAATACTTGTTTCTGCAATATGTTCCTCTAGTGCCATAAGTTGAGGTCTTCCCTGGGGTCGAAAAAATTGACACTTCGATTCTGCAATTGACATACAGACGCTAGCAATAGCGTTGATGGCTAGCTATATTCAGAGGGGCCGCCTGTCTTTCATTCCGTCACCAGATACGCCCAGCCAGCTGACAGGCATGAGAGGGCTGTATCAGCGTGACTTGGATTACTTCCCCTGCGTTTATAGGGTGGTAACATGTCGAGCCATCTTCATCCCCGACAGCAAAGAGCATTACGGTGCGGCTTGGAGACTAGCCACAGAGAATAACCAGTGGGCGTATACAAACAGCATGTCTAACGCAGAACTGCTCTTCACACTCATGAAGCAAGGGATTTCATTCGGGGCTGTCCAATAAGGCTGCTGAAGCGGCGCTACGCTACTGAGAACCTTCATAGTACAAATTGCCGCATCTAGGTAAAGAAGACGGACACAGGAACAACAGAGTCTTCATCTTTCTGGCTACCTAGAGTCTCTGGAGTTATATTTTGTCCAACACCAAGGGAAATGATTTCTGAAGCTCGTGGAGGCGAGTGGTATGTTTAGCTGTCAACTCTCCGCAGTAACAACTATCCGTGCTGCACTGCTACGCCTGCAACATAGCCTTTATCCCTGCGTAGGACGTGGAGCAAGTCTTAGCATCGGCAATAGTGTCAATCATCCTTAGACGCATTGGCCACGATTTAGACGTAACCAGTCCTGCATGACCGAGACTATGAATTGATGATATGAATCTATTAGCCCTTCCAGATTGTCAGTTGATTGTGGTGGAATCATGGAGTGGTACACTGAGTAACATACCTCGTGTGTTTTTCTAAGCTGGTTAATCTGTGTGATGATATACAAGTTCTCAGAGTCCGGGTAGTCGTCCTTGCTCGGACGTTCCAACTGATATCTTTTTTCAGTTTCCTCCTCATCATCCAAGTAATATGGATCACGAAAGATCGTAAGCTTCGAGATCATTTCTTGGGGAACATGCCCTATCCGAGGGCTTCAAGAGCACTGATTGTTCTATGAATAGTGGGGCACCGTGCCATTGCTTTGGGCCTTAACGTGCTTGTTGAATCGAATATCATCCAGATATACCGTAGTATACTGGCGCCCTTGTGAGACGTCTGTTACCTTGCCCTGATTTTAACAATATTAGATGTATGCTTGTGCCAATGGCACCCGTCTCTAGGAGTGATTGCCTTAGTTCTGCTCTTCTTGACAGCGGATTCTGTCTCTGAGTTCGAAGCGGATAGAAAAGTCCAAGAACGGACAGGGACAAAAAGACAATGGGTCTATTGCATCATTGTACAAGCCATGGCAATTGATGCAGAGCCCGACAGCATTCAATGTTTTGAATGCTGTCATTAAAGTAACCACAGCAGCTGATTTGCCCGGAGCGGTACGGGACCCTAGCCCTCATCTAGACCAAATAGTCCGGTGTACCAGTTGAGAATCTCTGTGGGATCGTAGGTGTTATCAGGAATCGCAGGCAAACCGTGGAGTTTCAACCCGTATCCTAATATCCGTCGAGATAGGCCAGACCTTCAGTTCTGATGATCGAGCTATACTAGTCAGCAAAGATCAACACGAGAGGGTAAAGGGACTTCCCGGTCAACCTGAGAATCCCAGTTAGAAGCCTGACTTCCAGAAGTGCCCGAACCTCCTTTTCAGATCTGGATCTCATGAGCCTGTCGGTCATCGTTGTGTATGAAGTGCCAGTGAATGTAGGCGTGAATCTGATGCGATCAATGACGCACTCAGTGGAAGAGGCTCCCACCACAGAGATCAGTTCTTGTATCAACAGGACAAGATTGACATTCACTGTCACCTCATCGGCTGGTGTATGGTACAATTTCGGACCTTTTTTATGCGAGAAGGAGATCCGATTGCGTGGATTGATGTGACAAGGGCGTCTCATTTAGTCCCGTGGAGTCATCAGAGCTTGACTCTTAATTGTATGTACTCGGCCCTGTCGGTGGGCGCCGAGCCTGAAAGAATACTTCGACCCACGGTTTCCACAAACGTAGTTGGCAATGCCTTCTTTTGTAGCCAGGCGCCACGACGCAAGATTCTAGGTTGTCTCATTGACCGTACCAAGCGGTCTCTATTTCTCAAGGACGTCGTCATCTGTTAGAGAGACCACCTTCATCCCAGTTTGCATGACCTTCTTATCCCAATTTCGTTCAAACACGCTGCGATGTATAGGGCAATATACCAGCAACGCATCGTGGGCAATGGCGTATCCATCGTATAATGCCTGCTGACATACCGAAGAGAGCAGACGCCACGATGACGCTTTGATATACGAGCCCTTGCTCCTCCCTGGCATCAGTAGCCGATACTAAGCCCTACAATCAATCTCGAGGCCAGTATCCGTCCTCTTGCGGGGTGCAATGTTCCAGGTCGCCTGCCGCCTATGGACTTTCCGGGTATGGCTCTGAAGCTGTAGCGGGCCAGGCATTGGTTCGATACCTCGACTTAAAATTATCGGCGCAGGAGAGGAAAAGACTGGCCTGCGACGAATTCAGATGGATCTCCTAAAGTGATAAGACGTTTTCTTCATCAGTGTATGCTCCAATCGCTCTGTGAAGTCTGCCTGATTAACACCGACATCTATGGATTGCCGGCCTGTGGCCATATTGTCCCAGAAATTCAAGAGCTGGGTCTGGCTATTGACGATCAGGTGGTGGTGTGTTTTCTCGGCGAGATCCCGATGAAGTTTTGCTTGTACAGCAAGATTGACATAGATATCTAGGAGCAAATTCGGTTATTGTCGTTCCATTTATCCCAAGGAGTTAGAGACGAACGATTGTTATACACTGTCTTAACTGCGAAATTTCTGGAAATCCAGAACTGGTTTTGCCCAGCACACCAGAATATAAAACCACCGATGAGAACAGCGGAAATCATAAAAACAGCCAAGCCCTTATCTTTAGGTCCATGGCCACTAATAGTCTCTGTACAGCTTAACTGCAGTGGTGAAGAATCGAAGAGCAGCCGTTCACGCCACATATGCAGGATCCCCAGGCATAAGCTCGAGGGATTTCGCAGACTGAAGGATGGCGGTTAGCAAGATCAGGTAAAGCAGTGAGTAGCGGAAGAAGCAGTTTCAGATATCTAGGTGCTTTTATTATGTTGGACGGTAAGAGTCATGAGTTAATGTGTATTCACTACTCTCTGGTTGTCGATCTAAAGTGAATGACATTTTACTCATGGGGATAACATCATTTCTGCTCTGTCGTGTGAAGGTCTTACGGAATTATTAATAGTTCACAAGCCTTCTTATCATTATCATAGTTCAGCTAAGGAAAAGTCAGAGGATAGACTTGCTTCTACATAATCTCCCTATATCTATATATAAATAATAGGATAATGAATGAGAGACCACTAGGATCATGTTTCTTTCCACATGCTAGCACTCGACTGTCTATCCCATGGTTACCTCACTGGCTCAGGATACGATAAGTGGAAGTAGTATTTGCATGAGCCTGACAAGTAAACAAAGTAAACACTCGAACTGCCCTGTTGAGTACGTCTTCGTTGGAACCAGGCCGTGCAGAGGCTATCCAATACTGAAGTCGCTGGTTCTTTCAACAGCCTTGGGATAACACCTGGCACATGGACCTTCCAATGGTTGCCAGATAGACTGCGGCAGTTGACCTATTTTGCTTCCAAGCACATGCTTAGACTAGAGTATCCGAACCACAGTGTTTATAGCGCTGCTGGGATGATTTCGGTTCAAGACGCTGGGTAAGGGAGCTGCTGAAGCTGCAATGGCGGAAAGATCCGCGCTACTGGAGACTCAAACCACCTTCATATAGGGACCCTGGCAAATTCACAACGAGTGTCTGGGACTATGGATAGGATGTGCCACGAGATTCGACCATTCTGATAGCGCTCGAGTACATGAGCCCACAGTGACGAGGGAGAAGTGGCCATTGGTGTCTGAGCAAGAAATTGTCCGCGCATCATGATCCAGCTGAAGCAATGCAGAGATGCTCTATCAGTAACCATAGCTTTCCTTCGTGTATAAGCATCAAACAAAATTGAGAAGTAGGACTGCATCGACATTTCAACATATTTGGAACCACGCGGGGCGCACATGGGATGGGCAAAGTCCACAATCCAGAGACCTGGTTCCAGGCCATCGAAGTGAGTGGAAACATGGCCAATGGAGTGGCAAGAGTCCAGACCTTGCACACCAAGAAAGGGATAAGGGAAATATCCCGTCGTCACCGTTGCAGACAAAGGCTGAAACCTGCTGTCCGGCAAGAATGTTCCAGATTAGGCGATTGGCAGAATTTAGCCCCGCAGCTGGAAATTACAACTTTCGAAGATTCTGTGATATAATGTCTTTGATTCAAGGCACATAGATATCAACTACTACAGAATAGAACTTTGTCATTGTTATGATCCAGTATTTGGCTATCCATATGGAGTACCTCTCTAATTTCATTTGTTTATGGTGGGGTGATAGAAATCTACCCCAGAAATAGCCTAAACTAGTCTCACCCACAAACGTACAGCAGACGGCTAGTCTTACTGTCATACCACTCTGCGACAGCTACAAAGGGACTGTAAATGTAATATCTCCTGACTTGACTGAAGATTTCTTCCATAGACTTGAGATCTCAAGGTTCAGTCTGAAGGGTCAAATCATAAATGAACAAGGGCTGTGATTGTGGCATAAAAGTCGGGAAGTGGCTCCATCCTTTTACTTCCCTTGCATCAGGTAATTATTATGGTCACTGTATTTTAGTTGTTCCAAGGGGATGTCCAAGTCAACATCAATTGTTAATTGATTGAAGCTACCCTTGGATGAGCTGATCTATAGCAGGCAAGAACACCTTGGCTTGTCAGTTCTCAGATGACAACAACAAAAAGACAGAGACTCCAGTCGCTCTTTTGTGTAGTTTCACTCAGTATAGTAACTGATTTATTTGAAAGTGAATTCTGATTTGATATTATAATTTAACACGCAGACACCGACTCCACCTGGGCATAATGTTGCCAAGCTGATGCAGCATACGTACTCTGGACACGCACACCCACACACACATGAAGATTCTTCAGTTCCTTCTCTTGTGAGATAAAAGGGTTATCCGCACTTCTGCTCGGAGAAATCAGTAGACTGTACTCTGTCTAAGCATCTGATGCCATTTGCATAGCATCTGACATCAATGTCAACGGGTGGCTAGACCGCGTATACTCATACGTGGACGATGGCCACGAGCCTCACCGTGAACTTATCAACGTCTTCATGTGCGCAAATAATAATAGTTAATAGGTACTGTTATTCAGCTGATGTCGCACAGTTGCGCATCTCCCATTGCAGAGTTCAGTCAGCCGATTGTGGCGTCGGTTGAGGGCGTGTGCACAGGATGCGGCGAAGAGCGTTTTGTGTTACTATTCTTGTTCGGCTTTCCGTCCCTCGGCTGCGGACAACTGCATCAACAAACAACAATTTCATGATATGAGATACTAAGAATTGTGCCTGATTTTAGCCGAGTGTACTGCAGAGACAGGACTCGGTGTGAGGTAGATCTTGTCTTGATGGTGCTGTGGATCAAATAATATTAAGATCTGAACACAAATCATCCATGGAGGTAGATAATTAGAGGACAATGTGATAAATATTCGAGCAAGGGACAAGCCAACACAATAAGGAAATGATAATCACAATGAATGAATAATAATCAGAGTCAGACAGTCCGAGTTAACAAAGACCTGTCTCATTCAGGGATCTGCAGCGTTGCAGTCTTATTGGTTGATGGCCGCCAGCAGTGCCAAAGATAGCAGCAGCATACGCAATCTTTTACAGCCACTCCGTCCTTTTTTCATCCCATTAAAGTCTTGACCACAGGGATTCACCTCTTATTCGGAGCTACGTATGTCGCAATGCAGGGCTTAGTCTAGGCTCTCGAGCGAGCTTAGGTGGTGTCTCTCCTTCCCGCGCCCTACGGGCCTACTGACTGGTCGAGAAGATGCCAGAAGCGGATCGAGATGCAGTGGCCCTCCTAGTCGGGTGGGTCCTATCCATCCTGTGGCCATTAATATTACTATGAGTCTGTGAATCTCAGACAGGGCTGATGGCCGATGGTGACTGGCTGTGGCTAATTGTTTCTATTGTTGTGATCCCTCCTGCATGGCTTGCCTGGCAGCCTGGTCTGATGTGTCTATTTAAATGATCCTGCGCACCTGAGGTATCTGAGTCTGGTCTTGTACCTGAAACTCAAGTTCCCATCTACCACGCTCGTTACCTACACAAACGTACCAGCTACAATCTTCGATCAAGTACGCTCGCTTCGAGTCATCTATCAGACAGCCACTCCAAGATGCGTTCTTCCATCGTCCTCCTTGCCCTGTCGGCCCTTGCCGCCGCTCAGTCTTCTGGCCCTGTGGTATGTGACGATCTCTTCCATTTGAACTTGCGCTTCGGACCATACTAACGTCCTACAGGAAGCTCAGACTACAGGTGTCACTGTCGTCGGTCCTGAGGTTAGCGCTACTGCTGCTACCACTACTACCACCAGCTCCACCAGCTCCACCACCTCGCAGCCCGTGATCCCAACTGCTCCTACCGTCATTGGATCCAGCGGCCTTCCCTCTTCCTTCTCCACCGTCCCTTCTAGCAGCGGCGTCCAGAGCTCTACCAAGACCGCCTCGACCGCAACTGCCACCGAGACCACAACCGAGTCCACCTCTACCACCAGGTCCAGCGCCTCCTCTACCAGGTCCAGCTCCAGCAGCTCCACCTCCAACGCTGCCATGCCCATGGCGACCGGCTCTCTCGGCCTGTCCGTCATGGCTGGTGCCGCCCTGGCTGCCTTCCTGTAAACAGTTCTACCGTTGGTCCGCTGCTTTTGCTGAATACCCTCTCCTTTCTCGCGCGAGTCCGATCCTAGTGTGGCCAGTCGTTAAATAGAGCAATGCACCTTTTATGAAACGCAAATGGGGCACGTCTATTCTTTACGTGGTTAAGTCGATGGAATTGTCATCATGGATTGCTTTTACCGCTTGTCGAAATGCATCAGGCGGCGCACATAAAGATTATCTTCTAGTTGAATTAATACTAATATTTGATCTTGATTTGCACCCGCAAACTACATATGACTCGATAGACAAACACGTAGAATAGGATATAAATCGCATAGAGATTGCTGTTATCATTACCGAATCATAACTCGCCCAAAGCAGACCGGACCCTAGTACATTAAACAACTGCTAGACCAGGCAACATATACAGTACTTAGTATTCATGTCCGCATCATGATAACCCAAATATCTGCCACTGGAACACAATCTATTCGTTGAGCGGATTAACCAATAGTGAAGTTCTAGCATATGGTTAGGACGTTCTCTAATTGGTATACAGGACTTGCTCGACTATCATCAGTGTCCGACTCGTAGTCGACTTGCTGTCTGAAGAATCTCCAATTCCCTCTCCCATCCCAGGCCCATGTTCCTCCGATTACCATCACCGTCATGTCTGGTGCCGACAACTCTTTCTTCGTTTGTTCCCATGCCATGCCCTCTAGGAGAGACTTGGAAAACTGGTATAGTAGCACTTTATGGCTTCGCTTTACTGGCTCCCGTCACACTGGACCATATCCCATCCTTGAGCTATATATTCCGGGACACTCAGGCCCAGTAGCAACTGTCGCGTCCTTGTCCCAGAGGTGGACGATTGAGAGATTTGCCATACGAACGTCCCAGTTAGGTATTATGGGAGTGGTCTTGAACTCTATTCCCTTGTTGTCCTCTGAATCAATGACAAGGCCTTCTTGGTCCGTGCTATTGTAGGGACTTTAACCTGTTTAAAGGATAGTGGGGTCTTCCCTTCGTTGCGCCATACCCCGTTCGTCTAGGTGCTAATAAGCTATCCCTTCAGTGGTTTGCAGGGGGAACTGTATGTATGTAGTATTCCCTGGAAATGATGTAATAGAGCTTTGTTCCCCTGTGAATATGAACAGTAGGCCTTTGACCCCTCGAACTGAAGTCAAGAGGCTGTTCCTTATATTAATTGACTTGGGTTATGTCCTGCGTTATGTGTTAAATACCTGGACATGAGAAAGTCTTGTATATGAGGGTGTATCGGGTGTGTCCTGCATAAGTGCTTTAATGATTCTCCAGGTAGTTTTATTGTTCATGTTTCGTGCGCCGTCTGCGTATGTCCAGGGAGTAAGGCAGGTTCTGGTTCTGGTTCTGCAATGCTTGTGACGACAAGCACAAACCCGTTGATTTAGGGACTGGTCTTAAAAGTTTGCCGGGTATTGGCACGGGGTATACTCTGCCCCGATCCTCAAAACTCTGCTCTGTCAAACAAGGACTGTTTCGCATCAAATGCAGGGTCGGCAGACTGGCATACGAACTCGAGCTACCGCCGTCCTGGTGGATGCACCCATTGATATCGGTAATCCACATTGAAACAGGCATACCTCAGCGACGTACACAGTCCAGGTCTAACTGACCTGCCAGAAAACAGATTTACTGACTACTTGGCCACCTTAATGAGCGTTTTACCAACTGATTATTGTTCTTCAAGTGGTTTGCATAGAAGGTAAGAAATTGCCAGTTTGCTTTAGAAATCTTTGTACAGCCGCAGAAAGCGTGGCTCGGACGTGAAGCATCTGCAGGCAGAGCAGAACAAAACAAAACACGGCTGCCTTTTGTCTGGCTCGTGTCAACTCCTTCTGCATGGCATTATTTCGGTTATTTCTTGCCCGAAACTCTGCAGCGGGAATGGCACGCAAAGCTCGCGGATAGTGGTACTGGTATAACCGATCTTTCTCTCTGGTTCTGCCGCAATCTGGACGAGTTATTCTGGTGTATAGCCGTTGTTATCTCGAGTTCCCTCCATGAGGGGGTTATGAGAACATTACCCACCCCCATTCAAAGGATGATGGCGACCATAGGCACTCAGGAAATCCGTACATTTTCTCCTTAGAGAGCATCGACCAGAACATGCAGGAAAAGCACGCCTTGAGGACAAGGACAAAATTCCGAAACTTGGTAATGTCCTCAGGTAGAGGAATAGGTCGATGTGCTAGTACAAAAGTATGAGTGATGGCTATAATCTTAGGTAAAGAAATGGTAAAATAGAAGGAAAATGGGAGGGGAGGACTCAGGCTTAAATAAACCAGGATGAGTCGTGCTGTTGGCACTCAACGACCGAAGTATTTGAATGACCGGATCTCGAAATTTTCCTAGGATATCCCAGTCCTCTATTGTGGTGAGGTCGAGGGTGTTCGTAGCCGTCTTGGTGAGCTTGCAAAACCAGCTTTAAGGCGCCGGAGGGCATTGCTTGCCTCAGTTGTAAAAACTGCATCCTTTGTATAACCGGGTAGAGCTATAGGTGAAGTAAAATGCAAAGCAAAGATGAAGCAGCGTTGTTTTTAATTAAGAGAACTCCTCAGCTTCAACCCAGGATATAAGGTCAACTGACAGGGTCTTGTATCTCTTCAAATTTGTCTCCCCTGTACATAAAGTAGTCTGTACTATTCTGTGTAAACTATGGAGTGTTGCAGCATCTTTAGATAAGATGCTATGGGCTAGATCTGCAGAATTCTAGGGTTCTCTTGTACCACAGATAAAAGCGTTGACCGTCTATCTTCCATTGCTGATCTCGTACATCAACAGAGATGTCCTCCCAAGCTCTCTTGGCGAGTCATTCGCCCCTTGACAAGACAACTTGGCTCCACAAGCTCCATACCAAGTACCAAGTACGCTTATGCAGGCCAAATGGAAATGGTTACTGTTTGATAAGTACACTGAACCCTAATTCTACCTACGCGTGGGTTACTGATGTTATTGTTCAGCAATCATCAGTACTGACACCAAAAAAGTCCATCATGGTAAAACGTTAACTAGGTGAATTAAGGTGTCAGTATCCAGGGATATAGATAATGTTGTTGCCTTCGGGGTAGTCTGTACCTGATAGGACCTAAGGTTGCTAAGCCTCCTTCCCCCAACTAATGGCTCTCCATTCTCCACTGTATAGGTACTGGTGAGTTTAAGAATGGTTCGTCATTGGAGGCTGGAGGTCACAGAGATAAACCGGTATACTCCACATACCTATATTACTTCTTTGTTTGAGAGGTAGAATAGTTAATAGACAACCCGGAAGAACAATGGACGGGTCGTGTTTTGGGGCTAGCAGGGGTCGTCAGTGCCGTCAAAGAGCTATGGGATGAGTACTCCCCTATTTTTCTCTCTCATCGCAACCAGAGAAGGAAACTGGTAAGTCACAGAGACTCTCAATCACTTCCTCATCGTTGAAAAGATATCCTAATCGAGTCGACTGCAGTGCTGATTACGGATTCTCAATAGTCTCACCCGCAACATCCTCATCGCTGAATTTGATTTCCCATGGGCACACCGGCCATGGCTCCTACAAACACAAAGGACTCTGATACTCCTGGCTGGCTACACCGACATGGCACGAGTGTGCTAGGCACAGTGGCTAGACAGGCGTGTAAGCAACCGATCTACACCTTGGTCATTACCGCTCTGCTAGCCACCATGATATACACGAGTCTGCTGGAAGGGAGTTTATACAATGCCAATCTTGCACGGCCTTCGAAGAGTCACCTCAACCAGTTTGATGTTACAGACTTTCTTCAGGGGAGCCGTAGCCTTCGCCTCGGAAAGGCGACCGCCTGGCGATGGGAGACTGACGATGAGTCGATGAGCGACCAAGAGGTCAGACCTCTTTTCTTCTTGGACCCAATGAGCAATGTACTGACTTCGTCTTTCTGGCAAGCTAGGTTGCATCGCATTTGGCTTTGATCACGCTCGTGTTTCCCACCTCCGAAAACGACCCAGGAATTTCTGCCGTCCAGGAGAGTGTTATTTCGGACTTGGCCGCTGCACAACTCGTCTCTCGAACACCTAGTGTCTTATCCTCTACCTTGAGCGAAACTTCAATCACTCTTTCTGTGCCTTATAATCACCTGGAGGAAGTTCTGCGCAAAACTCAGAACTTCCCGAAGCCGCAGGGTGAGCCCTCGTGGACCCTGAAAAACGCTGGAAAAGGCAATTCTGGTCCGAAGCTCAGGCTCTGGCTGATAGACTTTTTGGCTTCGTTTGTCGATTTGATCAAGGTATGCCTGCTTTACATCCGTCTAGAACTGAACATGTCCGTTCATAGGCCGCTAACAAAGTCAGCATGCGCAAATTGTCGATATCATCATCATGTTGTTGGCATACCTGGCGATGTACCTTACTTTCCTGTCACTCTTTATGTCAATGCGCCGACTCGGGTCCCGTTTCTGGTTGGCCTTTTCGGTGCTCCTCTCTGGTTTCTTCTCCTTGTTCTTCGGACTAAAGGTCACTGCTAGCAGTGGTGTATCTACCTCCATGATCATTCTTTCTGAATGCCTGCCAATTCTGGTAATCATCGTGGGATTTGAGAAACCCATCCGTTTAACGAGAGCCGTACTGCATGCTGCGACCGAGTCCCACCTTTCTGCAAAACCTATGGCCCGGCGGTCCATACCCGATGCCATTGAAGTGGCCATCAAGCGCGAGGGATGGCGTATCGTGCGTGACTACGCTATTGAAATTGCTTTCCTGGCGGCAGGCGCAGCCTCGAGGGTGCAAGGGGCTCTGCCTCAGTTCTGCTTTCTTGCGGCGTGGATCCTCCTCTTTGACAGCTTGCTCCTATTTACCTTCTACATCAGTGTGCTCTGTGTGAAACTGGAAGTCACGCGCATCAGGAAGCATGTCAAGCCGCATAGGGCTCTGGAAGACGATGGCATGACCACTGGTAACCAGGATTTTGACTCCCGTGTCTTTGGCTGCAAGGTCAAGGCCGCAAATGTATCTCGGTTCAAATTTCTCATGGTTGGCGGCTTCGTGCTTTTCAATGTGCTTCAGCTGTCGTCCCTGTCTTACGGCAACGTCAGGGTTCTTGACTGGATGCCGTACCTGTCGAGCCTTTCCAACATTCTGATGCCTGCCCCAATCAACCCTTATCGAGTCGCACGCAACGGTCTGGAGGATATCTACGTGGCTTCCCGTGCAAGTAACATTGAAACGCGCGTTACAGTGTTGCCGCCGATCAAATACGTCCTGCAGTCGCAGACTGAGCATTGTCGGGATAACTTGGCTGGCCCACTCTGCGATACACTACGCGGCCGCACTCTTGGGGGCGTGCTGGCATGGCTAGAAGATCCAGTCATCAGCAAATGGGTGATCGCTGCCCTCTTCCTAAGCCTGGTACTGAACAGTTATTTAATGAAGGCAGCTCGCTGGAATCTACGCGAGCGCGAGGTGATTCCAGACAGCTCTTCTGCAACCGTGAGCCAGTCAAAAGACTCTTCCAATGAGCCTGAAAAGACCATGTCAGGACCTAGCGAGCTGACAGACTCGCGGAAAAGCGAACAAGTAGATGCAATGCTACAAGAAGGACGAGAATCGCTATTGGAAGATGAGGAGATAATCAATCTATGCCTCCGCGGCAAAATTCCCGGTCATGCCCTGGAGAAGACGATGGAACGCCATCCGATGATGAGCCGCTTGGAAGCCTTTACCCGAGCTGTCAAGATCCGCCGCGCAGTGGTGTCTCGTACACCGTCCACTCTTGATGTGGCAAGTGACCTAGAGTATTCAAAAGCTCCCTTTGAGAACTATGACTATACCCTAGTCCATGGGGCCTGCTGTGAGAATGTCATTGGATATCTGCCATTGCCAGTAGGTGTGGCTGGACCCTTGGTAATAGATGGTCGGAACTATTTCATTCCAATGGCAACTACTGAGGGAGTACTAGTTGCCAGCGCGAGTCGGGGCTGCAAAGCAATTAATGCTGGGGGCGGTGCTGTGACCGTCATCAATGCCGACGGCATGACCCGAGGGCCATGCCTTGCATTCTCATCCCTATCTCGCGCAGCAGAAGCCAAGCAATGGATTGATTCAGACAAAGGAAAGAAGATACTGACCACGGCATTCAACTCCACCAGTCGATTTGCCCGCCTGCAGGGCTTGAAATCAGCGCAGGCTGGCACCTACCTCTATGTCCGATTCAAATCGACGACTGGGGACGCAATGGGGATGAACATGATTTCGAAAGGAGTTGAAAAAGCCCTTGAAGTCATGAAGGAGCATGGGTTTTCAGACATGTCAACTATTTCGGTGACAGGCAACTACTGCGTTGACAAGAAATCAGCCGCGATCAACTGGATCGATGGACGGGGCAAGTCAGTAGTCGCTGAGGCTTTGATCCCAGGGGATGCGGTGCGCTCCGTGCTCAAGACAGACGTGGATGCACTTGTTGAACTCAACACTGCTAAGAACCTGGTCGGCAGCGCCATGGCTGGCTCTATTGGCGGCTTCAATGCCCATGCATCCAACCTGGTCGCGGCAGTTTTTCTAGCTACGGGCCAAGACCCAGCGCAGAATGTCGAAAGCAGCAGCTGCATCACCATTATGAAGAAGTAAGAGATCATTGCACTCGATCCTGGCCTGGGCTGATCATTTACCTAGTGTCAACAATAACCTGCACATCTCAGTATCAATGCCGTGCATCGAAGTTGGAACAATCGGCGGCGGAACCATCCTTGAAGCGCAAGCCGCCATGCTCGATCTGCTGGGTGTTCGAGGTGCACATGCCACCAATCCTGGAGATAATGCCCGCCAGCTGGCCCGCATTGTCGCTGCCACCGTGCTGGCAGGCGAATTGAGCACGTGTGCTGCTCTGGCGGCGGGCCACTTAGTCAGTGCTCACATGGCACATAATCGCAGTAAAGCGGCGGCGAAGACTGGATGAGTACTTGTAACCCCATACACATGAGTCCTCGCTGCCGTCGTCAAAATTATAGCGGGCGGGGTCGTCCATGACCTTGTCCTCTGGGCCGCCCCATCCAGGCACTTCAGATCTCCATTTCATCTCTTCGTATTTGCTCGCGAGATCCGGGTCGTAGCATGTCCGCAGCCAGACGGTCTGCCAGCCGTGACTGCTGACCACACTGACATTACGCTCATGTACTGTCTGGGGTGTGGCCAACACGCGTCTAACCTCCTCGCTGATTTCAGGCGGAGAGTACGGCGGAGTGGACTCGAATTCAGCACGGAGCTGATACGGCTGGGATGGGCAGTCAGCCTTTCTGTATTTTGATCCAGCGGGAAAGGAAGGACATATCCAGCGTTCGATTAGCGTCAGCTTGTGCCATTCCCAGGCGAGTCGCTCCCACTGTTCTGACTGTCTTCCGCGGCATCGTGATCCCAACGCTCCTGTGTACAGAGATCAGACTAGAACAGAACTGGATGGATGCAACAAGTAAACTTGGAAACCAACTAAACTAAAAAGGTCGAATGGTAGACGGCCGTAATCGGCCTCTTTTCCCAGCGTTTCTCCTGACATTTTGGGCCCAAAAGGGCGACGTGGAATGGCTGAGCCTCGCAGGGGAAAAAAGAGGAAAAAGGCGAACTTAATCACCAGGCTATCCAGCCACTGGAGTAAGAATCTCCTCCAACTCCCAGGTTTCCCCTTGGCAGCCCGAACCCCACTGGCCAAGACAAGTAGCACCCTCAGTGCCATCAACTAACTGGCTTCTCTCGCTCGCGCTATCTTCCGGACATGTCTTACCACTTACATAGATCAAGGATGTTGGATTGTCCCACTAACTGCATATCCCCACTAGTTATTATCAGGGATGGATATTATAGAAACAATATATACCCACCATTTGTTTAGACTGCCACCCTCCCCTCCCAACTCCATGAATCGTATTGATATCCGCTAAGACTACCGTACTTATTTCTTTAGAGACAGTTGACCTGGTAACGTGTCTGCTCATTCAGAAAGCATGGCATCACCAAAACTACTCCCACTCAAACTGCCTCTTGCGCTCAATGCCAAATACGTCGCTACAGACCCCGTGGCCCTCCGCGTCAAACAACACAGCCAAAGCTTGTCCGGCGGCGACTTCACAATCTCCACCTATCCCACGGGCGACTCTCCGCTCGGAACGAAGCTCTTCTCCGTGAAAGGTGATTTCGGCTCGTTGAGTAACAAACGACACTTCAGCGACACCTCAGGCCTCCCACTGTTTACGCTGCAGCGCAAAAAAGCCGGCGTGGCGTGGTTCGTCACCCTTCCCGGCGACGAGCGTGGCTCTGAACCCATCGCGACGATCGCCACGAAGTGGAGCGCTTTTAAAGATAAATTCGACGTCTACTTTAAAAATGCGGCTGCTGACGGGGAGGAGACGGTCTTGGAGGTCCGCGGGCAGAGTGTCTGGAAGACGAAGACACATGTCTACTACAAGGGGACCTTGGTGATGATCGCTAAGCTTGCGGATGTGGTCTCGGTCTATGTGCCTGGCAAGCGGCCTGCCTGGACGGTAGAGGTTGCAGAGGGGATGGATCTATCTCTGGTAAGTCCTTCCTCCTCTGTTTGATGTGAGCGATGTTGTGAGTTGTCTGACTGTTGTCTAGGCCTCTCTTATTACAGTCCTCTTGGCTACGCTGTTCCACTACAGCAGCTTACCGTCGTCTCGTTCTGGCCCCAGCTCCAAAGATGATGAAGATATCAAGGACAGTAGCACGAAATAATGGACCTGCTCATGAATCATGGTATATCAACTCAGCAATCACAGGATGAATGTTAGTTTTGAAGACACATTGCCCATAACATGTCTTTATGTGCCCTTGCCTTGTTCTGTTACAATGTTGTCTAGTCTCTAATTTGCTAGCATTTTGAGGCCATATAAATGATATTCTTTAATCCCTCCCAGCTAATGTTAACAATCTATATCCAGTTGGCCAATTGTATAACGTGCTGTAAATGGAAATACTGACTTGATTTCTAAAACTGAGACATTTGTCTCAGGCTGGCCTATGGCTAACCCACGGACCGCCAGTTGTTATACCACTACGGAGTACGGGCTATGCTACCCTACCCGGCTGAGGCGCTGGTGCCAAGCTAAGGTTCACCTCACCCAGTCACCCAATGTTAGTGGAAGCATTCCCAACTTGTCACAACTACTCAGTACATCCTTTTATAGATGAGGGAATCAGGAAAATAAGGGCGGAGCTAGCTAGTACTGCAATTGCCTAAAAGGGATAGAAGATATTGTCATGCCCCCCTTGCTGTTTTGACCCTACTGCTATCATCCCTACTAGCTAATAGCTATAGATGATTGTCTGGACACCTTTTTGGCTGAGCGGGATATGTATGACAATTATTATAGCACATAGCTGCTAGTCCTAGGCAAGACACCTTCTGGAGATAGAATCATGAATTGCTTGAATAGGATCGGTGTTTGATATAGTAGGTTGCAAGCATCATCCGAGAGGGCTGTTGATTTTCCGGGTATGACAGATCCATCTGTGGTAGTAGCATCATTTTCATGTAGTACACACTCTCCTGGCACTTTCTATCATTTAGTCATTCTCTTTCCCTTTCGCCCCTTTGCCTGATCTGCCTCATTGTTATTATATGCTACTGAGTACTCTGTTAAGTAGGAAGAGCTAGTAGGTAGAAACTCAAAAATGAAGGTCATGTTCAAGTAAATCTGTTCAGTTGTTGGCGATAGCTAAGAAGAAGAAAGCAAAACCCCCCCAAAAAAAAAAAACATAGACTGCTCAGGACGTGTACCTCTTAGCCTCAGCTCAAAGAAGATTGTGCACAATATCCATCAGCTTCTGCTTATCAGCGGCGCTCAAGTTGACATAGTCAAGGCAAGCAGAGCCACACGGGATGGGAGTTCCCTGTTCGGTAAATAGAGTGGCCAGAACCATGCACTCCGGCGCCACATTCTCAACACGAAGAGCTGCTGGCTATCAGTCTTTCTCACTCTGCAATCATTTCTGCGGGAGGAATGCTTACAGTTGACAGATGTCTCCCGGACAGTCACGGTCCGGCCGACATTGGCATTACGGCACATTTGAATGTTGTAGTCAGGCACACCGGGCCAGGACTGGCGCTTCTCGAGGTCCTCAAGGCCATCGACGAAGGCCTCGGCGTCCCGCTTCCCGACGCCGCCGCTTTTAAGGCCGATGTAGATGAGGTTACCCGCCAGGGGAGCAGCAATTCCGGTGATAATCAGGCCGGCTAGCGGGGGTGCAGGGCAGGAGGGGATCAGGGAGAGGGCGGCAACGGCGAGGCCGGCAGCAAGAGTTTTGGCGTGCATGATGGAAAGCGATTTGGATTGAAGGATGGGACTCGAGTGAAGCTCTGAGGTGTCGTTCTTGATCGTTGAACGCAGGGTGCTGAAGCGCCTTTTTATATCTTGTTGGTGCATTGATCTGGTTGCTGGATGCTCACCTCGTTGTATGAGGCATTTTTGGAGCCTGGATTCGAAATCCAGAGTCCTTGGAGACACTGACTAGATGGTTGCATTGCATGACCGAGACAAAGGCCAAGGATGTAGAGGTGGTGGATAGTTATCAGGGCGGAATGAACTACTGAAGGTACCAAGGACCGCAGACCCTACTATATTGCCGGGGTTGTATGGCTACTCTAGAGTATAGCTGAAAGAATGACAAATAGAATTTAAGTTGATATAAATCATGAATCGTCAAAGACGTAGGTGGCTCTCAGGCGAGATTACTTGCTGTTAGTATAAGTTCGTAAATGGACGGTTAGGACGTCGAGTATTGGCCGCACATCCTCAGGACCGAAGCCTTCGAGTATCATTCAAGTACCAAATGTGCTCTATCCTATTGTTCTTTCTTTCAACTACGACTTAGGGCCCCCTGTTCATTTACAGAGACCTGACTCCACGACACTCCTCAACCTGTTTGCTACCCATCACTTCGGAAATCAAGTTCTGCTTTACACCTGTCTCAGTCGATAAAGGTGCTGAACTACACCAACCAAGCGGTCTGGTAATTGCAAAATGGACTTACGACGCTTTTGTGCTCAACTACTATCCCTTGTCGTAACCCTTAGTACGCTGTTCATGATATGGAAGGGTACAAACGTGATCACTGGATCCGCATATCCCCTCATGGTGGTTACATCGGGGTCAATGGAGCCAGCCTTTTACCGGGGTGATCTGGTTTTTCTCTGGGATCGCCAGGAACGAATCCGCGCAGGGGATATTCCCGTCGTGTGGTTCGAAGGCCGCGAGCTGCCGATGGTGCACCGGGCTATCCAAGTGTCTTACGAGGTCCTGGACGGTGAGAATAATCTAAAGTACCTACATTTTCCTGAAATTGACGGGGAGTTGCAAAGCAGCACTGACTGACATGACCAGGCAACACATCTTGACCAAAGGTGATAACAATGCCCTTGATGACTCTAGCCTTTACCCAGCGGGACAGGGGTTCGTGTATCGGGAGAATGTCGTTGGATTGGTTCGAGGCTATGTGCCCTATGTTGGATGGCTGAGTCTTCTTGTCAAGGATGTCCCTTGGATTCCTGTTGGATTGCTCATTGTAGGGGTTGCCTTTTAGTCAATTGTATGCATATACAAGTTGCTATGCTATGGCCGTTGGTTATGGGGCATCTCGGGAATAACCCAAGCTTACTCCGTAGAGCACAAGATTAGTATCAAGAATTCAGCCCCCCGCCGCCGCCCGCCAGCCTCATATCCACCGGTCCACACCTACTAGTGCCACCAGGGCGGCAGGGCCTGCGCCGGTGGAGCGAACAGTATGTGGCAGCGGATATTTACTTAACTCCTTTAATTTAATTAGATGCCGTGCAGCCTGTGTGGTGCAGTAGACATCTGCTATCCAGAGAGGGAAATAAGTGAGAAAGGCAACAGGTAATCGGTGTCAGACCTCTCTTATACCATGTATTAGAATTTAGAAATCTAGAATATCCGGTACATGGTACAAATCATGAGAGCCGAGAGCTACAAAGGTACCTAAGTCCCAAGGCACTGTAAGGGCATCCGTTACCACGTGATTGCAATCTAAGCCAATCGGAAGACTAGAAAGTGCGCTGGGCCAATCATATTGAGCGCCAAGACAGGAAGATACCCTATGGTGCAACTGTGCAATAAGACATGCAGCTACGCTTTCGCTTCGCTCCGCGATGATATCCACTACGAGCAGCATGATGCAGCAAGTAAGTGGCTCCAGCCTCCATCTTGCCTTATAGTGCTCTTGTATCTGTAGACTTCGGTATCTCTTCGGAGAATATCCGTGGTCTGAATCTAAGAGGGGTACTATCAACCCACTCGCGATGTCTCAACAGTTTTCACAGCCCTGCTTGCCATTGACTCCAAAGGTTTCTCTTGGCGTGAGGGGCACTGGACCATTAGAAGTTGACTCCAAGTGTTGGTTAGGTAGTGGAGTCAATGTAGGGAAGAAAGACCGGTATAGCCTGTGTTCGAAGACATGGGCCATTGCGGCCCATGCTGTAGCACATGTTGAGTCAGGTCAATGTAGCCGCTCTAATGTATAGGAAACATGTATATAGCCAGCCTCTGTCGTCATTTGCCGGTTTGCCATCGGTGATGCTGGATACGGCTTGAGGAATTTAGCAAGTGAGAAACGAAGAGGAAGAGTCGAGATGCCACCCATCGAGTTGCTTGTTCCCCCTGCACTGTTTGCTCTTTCAAGTGCTGCTTTCTTCAAGGCGATCTATCTATCATACAAAGATCGGCTCTATGTTGCACCATTGTTGTTTGGTAGTGCCGTGTTGTCCCTACAAACCAGTCACTACTTAACATGGCTTACTGGTATGAATGTACTGTGGGCTCTCTTCAGTTGCATCTGGATGCACCATGCTGCATCTGTATTGTACATAGACCAGCTAAGCATCCCCAGGACTGCGTCTTTTTGGATCTCTGCCTACAAGATCTGGAACGATCCGCAGCGTCGCCTCAGCCAGGTATCCCTCCAGCGCAGAGAGAATACTTGCTCCCCCACCAGCAGGATATGGTTCGCTCTTCGGCGCCTATCCTGGACTGTGCTCTGCTGGCTGCTCCAGCTGTCCATTGTCGGACCGTTGCTGTCCATTCATTTCACCTTCAGTGCTGAAGATTTCGAGCCCTCGCGCCAGATCCTCATCCGGCGGATGCTATCTCTCCAGCCAGAGCCGCCGTTCACAGCCCGCGAGATGCAGATCCGATTCTACGTATCGGTGTACTGGATCTGGATCGCATATCTGATGCTTGAGCTGTGCAACACAGTGCTCGCGCTTTTCTTTGTTGTCATCCTGCGCCTCGATAACCCGGAGGACTGGACTCCCTTATTCGGCAGTCCATTGCAGGCATACAGTATTCGCCGCTTCTGGACGAAATTCTGGCACCGACTGGCTGTCGCGCCGTGTGTTTCTTCCGGCAGGATGATCACACGACGTGTAGCACGCCTTCAGCCAGGCTCGCAGCATGAGAAGATCTCCATCGCCTTCTGGGCGTTCTTTGTGTCTGGTATTTTCCATGTAGTCGCGGATTGGGCATCAGGGGAGCCGTGCTACCTGATTGACGATATGTTCTTCTTTGTTGCCAATTTCCTCGCCGGCGCTATCGAGTCGGCAATCGGAAAAGGGCTGGAAAACGCTATGAAGAGAAGTAAGAACGGCATGGTTCGTGGGCTTCTCAGGTCGGGTATTGTGAGGAAAATGATAGGGTATATCTGGGTTCTGGGTTTCATGTTCTGGATTACACCAAAATGGCAGTACCGGAAGCTTCATGCTTCCTTGACCGAATTTTCAGATCCGCAGCTGGCGACGAGAAGTAACTGATAACTTCGAGACAGAGAAATGGCGGTGTTGCAGATTTCACTTCAGCCTGAGTTGGGGTGAAGGATGAGAAAATATTTGTATGAGAATCAGCGAAAGAATAAAAGTAAAAGAAAAGTTGTGAAGAGAAACAAGGTCTTGAAGCTTTAGCATAATTCACTTATTAGCTCAGAAGAGCTTGCACTAATTATTATTATTATTACATGAAATTTAGTATATCATTTAGTCAAGTCAGGCACTGCCACTATGGGGCTGCCCTTTAGCCCTTATAACCTGCGGCATCCCCCGCTACTAATTCTCCACAGCTCTTTTTCAATCACAAACGGTAAGGCCACCGATTACCCAAATCTTATTTTCCATGCATCTAATAAATACAAGGGATTAGAATAAACTGTACAGCCAATCGTCATGCTAGACTGGCTCAAAAGACTGTTTGGCCTCACTGAAGAAGCCAAACAACGGAGAGCACAAAGGCGCCGCAGCCGGGCCCGAAGCAGGAGAGTTCTAGCCCGAGAGAGAGAACTGCGACGACAAAACCATAGACAAGAGCTCAAGGGCGGGAAGAAAAGAACGCCTTTCTTCTGGGGCTCTCTGGGGACGTCGATTCCTCATCATCGGAAGTCCAATTTCAGGGACTACTTTCAAGGATAGTCGTGTTGTTTGACCTTGGTCATTTGTTCTTGAGCATACAGCCCGTGCGTCATTTGAATGCTCTAGTCGAAATGGCTCCATGATTGCCAGAGGAGCAGTATGCATTTGGTTCAGTATGTGAAATTGCAGGTCTCTTTTGCTATGTTCTGGATTGACCGTCTGCACCCGATTTTTGTTCAAGTCCATATCATCATTCCTCAAGCTGAATGAAACAGTCTCCCTTCTAGTCAGAGTCTCAAGAATTACGATTAAGAAGAACTACCAGATAATTCAAACACATTCAGCACCAGACTCAGTTCAATCCGACGGCATTGCATAGCTATCACAAGTATCCCAAAAACACACAGGCTCACAACACAGCTCATCATCATTAAAGCGCCTCCAGTCGGGATCATATTATCTCGCAGCTGCGGGAACAGAAACACATCAGCCATGGACGATGTGCAAACATTTGCTGTAAGACGTGGGCTTAAGCTGTGGGAATATCTATTCTCGCAAACTGGACGGGACTAGAAATATATGAGGGAGTTTTAGATGTTGCAGACAGTCACTGATCCCAATCCAAAAATTGCCAGAGCTAGTCCTTTCGATTGTTGAGTAACGGCTCAATTCAATCATGGCATCCATCGTACACGCATACGATAAAATGGGATGGTGAACTGCTTATCAGAGTTGCTTGCAAGAATGTGATATTTGGTAGCCAATCTGTAAGTGTGACTGGCTGGGTTACTTCAAGACGGAGTTCTTCCTACTATTCAAGGGGACCAGCTGAATGTCAATTAAAGCATTCTAAGTGGTGCTAGCGGCGGGAGCTAATGCAAGGTGACTGTATGTCCAATCATATTGCATTAAAGATAAGGTAATCTAAAGCCATACCTTTACTTTCTACCTCTCCCTACTGACGATACTACAGTATGCACAGAGTGCTGTTCACCTCTCTGATATTTGATTGAGATTCACCTCCTCTTCTACAGGATGTCTTATGTTATACCCTTACTCTGTACAGAATCCCTTTCAAATTACCAAATGACTGAATCCCAGAAGTGAAACTGGTAACACTCATCCTCGTCGTGATCACCAAATGGCCAATGACGCTGTATCTGTGCCACGACTTCCTCAGAGTCTGCCAGTAGAATCGCATCTTCTTTGAATTTCTCGCTCATTTTCTTAGCCTCACTGTACCTCTCTGTAGGAACCCAGCCATCACCAGACACCCCGAGACAATTTCGAGGTTTCTCCATGTCGTCGTCCGCAAGCCGCTGCTCCTCCTCGAGCCGTAGGCACTTATCAATCTCCTCAGGGGAATAGTGAAGTGGACAGGTTGAATCCGTCACAGCACATAGACTTTCCCAATTTTGGACGGCACGAATAAGATCAGCTTTCAAAGGGACACTGTCACCCTCCCAAGGATCACCGGCATGTTGAAATAGCTGTTGTTTCAAAACCACTTCATCCTCCGTACACGAATGGACGTCGTTGAATTTGGCGGTGGCCGCGAAATAGTAATAATGGAGTTGGCGTTGTTGAAAATTGATTCTTGCGGCTTCTTGTTCGCTTTCCCCGAGTTGATCAAAGTCCAAAGGAAGTTGGGGCTTGATAAGGTCCTCAGATACTGCGTCGCCATAGTTCTGAAAGTATTTTGGCGGCCTCGCTTGAAGTAAAATGGGAAGAATTGAGCAATGCTGCCAATCTATTAAGGACACCAATTCAGAAGAATCTGAAACCAGTATATTGTTGGGCTGTAGATCAGGGTGGCGGAGAATCGGCCGACTGAGGAAGCACTCTTTCTCTGGAGATAAATGGCGAGCAATTTGTAGATAATCCCGGAGATTTCTAACGTGGTTATCAGGGTGGACCTTTTGATACGCATATAGCTCTCTGTGAGGATACGAGGTTCTGTCGATGGATATGGAAGTCGTGCCACAACTTGAGTACCATCTCGCATAGTAATTTCAAAGGCACGGCTGTATCCCCCCTCAGCGAGCTTTCGAAAACAAGTCACATCCTGCTCGGGTCGACCGATAGATGCAGACGCAATGCGATTCAGCTGGGCGACGTTGAAGAACAGCTGTCGCTCCAAAAGCCGTAAGGTCTCGTTGTAGCTCGAGTCCCATCAGTCTACGCATAAAGCTTAGGGGCTTAACGTACATCCATCTTCCGGAAGTATAATTGAACAGGTCGGAGTCACTCTTTGTAATATAATTCTTGAATGGTCGTTGCTTCAACAGAAGAGGAAGCGAACCGTGGTTGAAGGTCACTCGATATCGGCCGACGATCGTTCTTCCTCTTGTAAGTACCGAAGCCATTGCGAGAGATCAACCAGTCCGACAGTGATTGTCATGTTTACATTTTAATTCCTGGGAGGAGCAGTGACATCTTTTTACCATCGGAGTGCTTGGTGCGTGCCAACCAAGTAATGTAGAGGATGGTATGGTCAGGATGATGTAGTGGCAGGTGGACCCTAACATCCCGCCATAAACAAGCAATTAAGGAATCCTTAGCCTAACCCTAGTTTACATTGCAGACGCCCTTCTTGAATCATTCCATCTGAAAGGTAGAGGAATCTGGCCCTATCAACTTATCAACCTTTTAAGAAGCCATTAATAATACTCATAAGTATACTGACTGATCCAGCACCGTGGTCTTAATTCTGGTCTCATACATTACAACTCAAAATACCCATCCTCTTCCGCCTGCAATGCAATACAGGAAGGCAGCTCAATGCAGTATTGGAAATTAGTCTCCATGCAAAATCGAGCAACCCTGCTCGCTTCTCTTGCTACAGTGAACAACGTCTTATCTTCATCCTGACTCTCACGGGGGAGAGCTAGATTATGGCGGTCAAATATAGACAGATCGACATCCGGTTGACCCTCCAACACATCCTTGACAGCCTGAAACAAGCCAGGTCGCGCGCATGCGACCCCAGAAGAAGAAGGTAATCGACAGTCTCATTCCCAATCACTGTCCGCAGCAGGTCTCGAACTTCATGCCAGTATTTCGTGGGGTCTTTTCGGAGTAATGTGTCTTCCGCCGCATGGCCTCATCCTCAACAAGCCGCAAAGGCCACGGGAAATCTCTATCCCCATTCATCGGAGTGTTGAGGGTGATCCCGAGACTGGCGGTGTTGTAGCTGACGACAAGCATGGCGGCCACATCCGATTCTCGTGTCCGTTCATATAGCAAGGCCTAATTTAAAGCGATGTTACCCAGGTTGCCCTCACCGATACCTTCTAGGCCTGCTAGGCGACACGCAGGGAGAACTTGAATGAGTAAGGGAGAATGCTTACACATATGCCATAGTGAGATCGATTCCCACGCCTGGTATGTCACCTCTAGCCTTGTTTGATACAGTTGGTAGGTCAGAAAGACCTGGAGCATTGCGTAGGTCGCGAGCCTGGCAAACACTCAGCCGGATGCTGCGGACAGAAGAAGTGCAACAATCATTGCTATCCATGGTGTCAATTGCGAGAGACGCGGCTTGACACATGATAGTCAAAGCAAAAGGAAGACTGGTTCATTTGCCAACCTGGTAACTTGTAACTTGTTAACAGATCTTCGATATAGACTAGATGGTTGTGATATCACTCTTCTGTCATTATATGGGATAGGACTCTTGATAGGTCAGCTGAAACAAGCTAACTTCGCCAGCAATATCTATAGATACTCTTTACTATCTTGAGAATCTATGGTCATAAGGTTATACATAGCACTGTAGAAGAGAAGAGCTGATCGGGAACTATTTTATAGATATGGCGTCGGGTGTTAGTCCGCGTCCCTGGCATCACGGACTTTGGTGGCATTATTGACATGGATCGCGATGGGAGTAATATGCAGTATATGGGTGGGCAGAATAACAAGTACCTGGTGGGGCAGGCTGAGAAGGACAGCAAGGAAGAGTGGCGTGAACTCGCCGTAGCGGAGTTGAAAATCCAGGCTGGTGTTTACCTGTTGGACTGGAAGGTCATCGAGTCTGGATTGATTAAATTCTCTGGCTCGATGAGCATGGGAATATCGCCTGGGATAACTGGCTGGACCCTTTTAGGTCCAACTTGGATGGCTTAGCAGGAGCACTCCTCAGCTCTATCAGTTTAGGAATTGGCCAACTGGGACGGCACTGATTTTTAAGCGCTTTGTGGTCTTACCCTTTCCGTTCTAGTGCTTCACTGCTTACCCCTCGCCGCTTTCGACGCGACCATGCTGATTTCCTTTCCCTATGCATCGTCTACAAGATGGCACACAACCTGTCAGACATTGTGAAGAATGCTTCCGTAGACTTGACTCCGTACGAGGATCTCTACAAGCATTTCCACGCCCATCCTGAACTCTCGCTGCAAGAAGAGTCTACCTCTCAAAAGGTCGCAGCCCATCTATCCCAGTTAAACGCTTATGAGATCCACACCAATATCGGCGGCTATGGGCTCGCAGGCGTCCTCAGGAATGGGGATGGCAAGACCGTCCTTCTGCGAGCTGACATGGACGCACTCCCCGTCAAGGAACTCACCGGACTGCCGTACGCGAGCACGGTTACTATGCGCGACGCCGACGGCGTTGAAAAACCAGTGATGCATGCCTGCGGACATGACATGCACATGACATGCCTACTCGCGGCAGCTGAGACTCTTGCGAACATGCAGCATGCGTGGAGCGGAACGCTGATCGTGCTGTTTCAGCCTAACGAGGAACGGGGCGGTGGCGCGCAGGCGATGGTGGACGATGGCCTCTACTCCAAGATCCCGGTTCCGGATTATGTCTTTGGGCAGCACGTCATGCGCATGCGGGCAGGAAGCGTTGGCTGCCGGCCTGGAACCATCATGGCTGCCGCCGACAGTCTCAAAGTCACCGTCTATGGGCGCGGCGGCCATGGATCCCTGCCGCATCAGACAGTCGATCCTGCGCTTCTCGCTGCGCATATTGTTGTCAGACTGCAGGGGATTGTGAGCAGAGAGATTGATCCCAGCGACCTCGCGGTCGTGACTGTTGGAAGTCTGCAAGCGGGGCAGACCGAGAATATCATTGCGGATCGGGCCGAGATTGGCCTTGATTTCCGGACCGTCAAGCTGGAGACTCGGCAGAAGATCCTTTCTGCTGTCCAGCGCATTGTCGAGGCCGAGTGCATGGCTAGTGGCTCGCCGAAACCGCCGGTGTTCACTCCAACACGCCGGTTTCCGCCAACGGTAAATGACGACCAGGTAGCATCTCAATTGGCTGCGTCTTTCGGACAGCATTTTCAGGACTTTGACGGGGATACACCGAGGACCAATGTCAGCGAAGACTTTTCTACGCTGGGTACTTGCAGAGGTATTCCGTGCTGCTTTTGGTTCATTGGGGGTATTGATGCAGAACTCTGGGACAAGGCAGTGAGAGAAGACAATCACACAGATGTGATCCCTGGCAACCACTCGGCCCTTTTTGCACCTGTTATACAGCCAACTATGAGAGCTGGAGTGGATGCTCTTTGCCTTGCAGCTTTGACATTTTTGAGGAAATAGCTTTCATCACCTTACGACGCCTTAGTGGCTCACTGTGTATCATTGACCAGAATAGGTGGTACGTATTATTTGTTAGATTGGAATTCGTATCATTCTGACTAGAGGCTGGGCTCATGGCATTAGACAGGTCCCTTTTAGTAAATAATACATCTGCTGATCTGAATTCCGAAAGTTATCATTAGTAACAACCAGTAGTGCTTGTTCTGACTACCCATTCACATTGAAACATCTCCCGAAACCAGTGGCCCGACCCCTTCGGAAAACTCAGATTCGACGACAATCCATCTTGGATTCCTGTTCGTTGTTGACTGCATCGATCTGAGTCGGTGCAGATGATGATAACCGTCGTAATAGCAAGTTGGCGAAGACATCGACTCGGCTCCCGGGTAGTCATATAGTTTCAACGTCCCTTAGTAGCATAGCTGCTTATGACAATAAAAGCTTCAGCGGCAAGAACTCTCTGGGGCTCACGTATTTGTAAACACACCCGCTGTCCAGCTGGTTCTTGTAAGCAGATAGTCAGCTCCCAAGAGTAATTATCATGTAACTCATCCCGCAAATGCGGTCCACAGAGCGGTATTCAGAATGCGGGTGACATCGGTCGAACCGTCTGGACGGAAGGAGCCATCTGCTCCACCAGACTGTTTCAGGTCTTCCCAGTCTTGGATTTTGCGCTCGATGTACTCCGCCAGACCTGAAGCATGGAGGATCTCAGCCACACGGTAGTGGCAGTCCAGATACGCGGGATCTGGCAGGGGAAGATCTTCCCCTTCGGCGCATTCGAATTTGATTTTGCGGTTCTTGGGCAGATTAAACAGAGCTTCAGCGGTTACGACGGGATAAAGCTTGAGATTGTAGACATTCCGCTCATCCTAGAGAAGAAGAGCAATGTGTGAGTGAGACGATTAGATTGAATGAGTATTGAGCCGGACTTACTGTATTGACGAAGGCCATATGGAAACTTCCAAACGCCTTGTGCAGTGAATCAAATCGACCAACATCATACCCTTTGACAGGCTATTGATCGTCCTGGGCCTTAATATCTAATTAAGTAGTGTGGGAAAGCAGCTAAACAACACTTCTCCAATCGTTCAGAGAGTCCGCACTTCATACACCACATGAAGCGCGGCTTAACCGACTGAACGTGAACGGCACGAGAGGCGCTCGCCGGTGCCATGATGAAGGATCGTCACAGGCAGCAGTCCTGTCCGCGGTAATGATGTCGTTCATCTTCGGTAGCACTAACACAGGTCATTCTGCAACGGCTGGCCACAGAGCGGTGTTCAGAATATCGGTTATATCGGTAGAACCGTTAGAACGAAGACAGCCATTGGTGTCACCATACTTTTTGAGGTCCCTCCAGTCTCGGATTTTGTTCCTGATGGGCGGTGCCAGATCCGCGGCGTTAATGATCTCAGCCACCCGGTAGTGGCAGTCTAGGAATGTCGGATCTGGCAGGGGGATATTTTCCGCGCCTTCACTGCATTGGAATTTGACCTTGTGATCAACAGACTGCAAGAGCATTGTAAGGAGGGAGGAGACTTTAGTATAAATCTTGATGTCATAAACAGTCTGCTCTTCCTTTACAGAAAGACAGCAATGTGTGAGTAGAATGATTAGAATGAACGCATAATGACATGGACTTACTGTCTTGACAAAGGTCATATTAAACATTCTAAATAATCCGTGCAGGAAATCGAGCAACATCATTCCGTTCGAGGGGGTCTCCAATCTAGTACGACATACTCTAGGGAAGCATTTATAAAACACTTCCCACTGCTTTGAGCATTCATATGAGTCAGTAAGAGACAACATCATCATAGTTTTAGGACAAATACCTCACTTCCTGTCAGGGACGTGTAACTGCAGGGTATGATATTGGTACACTCCAGGTTGCTGTGGGGCTCATCTTCTGGCAGATATCCATTCTGCTTGCATTTCCTGGTATCTAGATGGCCAGTGACACAATAGCAGTAACCATCTCTGCGCGCATACTTGTCACGGAAATCGCTATCTTAGACCTCTGGTGGGATGAGCGTCCCTGTAAACACCTCCAGGTTGGGCTCCCTGAAGTCAAAGGGCGATTCAGGCTCTGAGGGTATAGGACTCTCTGCCATCACTAATTGATCAGCATGCTTCTTTGGTAATTCTTCCTCACTTACTTGGGTAAAGAAGGCAGCTGAGAAGATCATGAAACACCTGCCACAGCTTATGGTCGTCATTTCCGGTGTTGATGATGTCTCTGGCCACAGATGTTTGACCTCCTGGTGGTAACCACTCGAGAAAGGCCTTCAGGGAAGCACGGAGATACTCTTTATGAGGTCTCCCCCTATTCACATAATGCTCGACTCTCGCTCTCGCGGTGTCTATGAGATTAGTGAATGTCAAGCTTGGGTCGTCCCGGCACGCCATTCACTGACTGCTGACGACTAGGCTTGGAGGCGGACCCCTGCCAGGCCTGAGCGCCCTCCCTAGTGTCGACCTGCGGAGGCTGCCCAGCCAGTCGGCGAGACCTCCGGGGGGAGACAGGGCGACTTTGCTTGCCGCGTTTCGGACTAGCCAGAGACATACCTGGATCCTAAGGTCTGTGGATGTGGAGTACACTTAAATCAACAAACCAGCCAAAGTACTGAATTTCAGGGGGATCTGGTGTTGCATTAGCAAGATTTAATTGAAGAACGTGGCATGTCATCATGGGTGTTTCCAGGGTTCAGGTACAAGTATTTCCTGGGCTTATGGGCGGTATTAGGAGACTTAGGGCGATATTCTAGGGCTTTGAAGTGACCACATCACAGGCTGCAGTCTACATAGCATGATATGACAATGACCTCACAAAACAGTACGCTATATGAAACATTGAGTACGTCGGATTTGCTTGAAGGAACTAAGCCATGTTATGGCTACCGAGTTTGTATTGTGATGAGTTTGCCAATCGTCCTCAAAATCTTCGGTCAAACATGAATTACCCCGTCCTCCGATAGTCATTTGCTTTTACCTCTAAAGAGAAATACTATGTCCATAAAAAGTATGTAAAGGTTTACTAGTTAGTACTTAGCAAGGGCAGACTCCCTATCCTTCCCATGTCTGCACAAGCCGCAGGTATGCCTAAGAATCTATCTTATACTGGTGTCTAACGTACAATCACCTTCACAGATATCTGGATAAAAGAATGAAATGAGATCCCTTGAAGTTGCTCAGGGAAAGATTCTACTCTCTTTAGTCTGTATGGTAATTCATGCTGAGTTTGTATAACAGTACTACCTCCATTATGGTATTTAGTTTCCCGGAGTGGAGGGTTATACTAACACAGGCTCTGGTGTATTTCTTTGGCTACTTGACCCCTATTGTAGAAGCTCGCGCTTCTCACATACATATGCATTGGATTTGATCCTGATATAAATATCACGTTCCTTCCACGGTATGTTCTATCTATGACATGAAGCAACCAAACTCAATCTCCAAAACATTGAATTCTCTCTTTACAATCTAAGACTTCCACTATACCGTATGTTGAATACGACCAAGAGGATCGATCAAAGCACAATGTCCACATCCCTATCATACCTTCAGGAGTCAAGGTACCAATGCACAGCCAACTCTCTAGCAATAGTCGCTGCGGTCATTGCCGCCATCTTTGCAGCCACCACCGCAGTATTTGATGAAGGAGATATCGCCATTGTCGCCACCATTGCAGTGGAAGAGGGATTCACGGATGTGGCCGTCGTCTGTGGGCTGGTGGGCAGCCTCGAGGGCGCCATTGACCTGGGCTCCGTACTTGCCTATTGAGAGGGCCTCATTAGCGACGTTGAGTCTGGACGGGGGAGGCAAGTTCACATACCAATGTTCAAGAGGTTCCAACCACAGTAGTTCAGCCCAGTCTTGCAGTTCCTTGCGGCGGCAAAGGGAGCCAGTGCAGCAAGAAGAGCGAGAGGGAGAAGGGCAATCTTGACCATGATGACGATGAGATATGAGTTTCAAGAGAAACGGATCTTGCAGAATCGGAATCAGAATCAGAGTGAGATATTGATGAATGATGAATGAGTTGAAGACTCAGGATAGAGGCGGATTTGTCCTCATTCTTATACCCCAAGGCTCTTCAACTTCAATCCGGGTCAAACCGTATGTTCCCATATTGATGAAGTAATGGAATCATCAAGGACGATCAATACATTGTAGCACGCCTAGTTGGACGCCTGGCCCCTCCCAAGCGCCTAATAGATATGTTTGGAGAGGTGAATATTTGTTGTCCCATCAAGCCGTCACACAGGTGCTTAGAGGGTCCACTTGGCATACTAGGCTCATATTCTTTATGTAGTGTAACCTTCTTGAGACATCTAATATATCTAAACGCATGGTGGAGAGGACTTCCCATGCTTGTTGGTCCAACACTATATGGGCAGATGGTCCAGAAATTGGATATTACTTCCCATTTTTGTGTCAGATACGGAGAATAATCCATATCTTAAAGAAAGGAGCTTTTACCCACAATATCAGAATAATAATGTTCTAGGAGACATTGTTAGCTTTACTAAGAGGATTTTAGACTGGTTCGAAATGGCTGTGACATACTACCTATCTGGGGCCGGTCGATGTCTGGGCCCAAGCAATCAGTATACTCCGTACAACCTTCCCCTTTCTAAATCTCTCATCATTGAAAATCAGCATTCATTAGCATGTTAAGTTGGTAACTGCGATCCTGGTCCAGGTACCACCCAGCAGTCACGACAGCCTCAAGGCACTAAAGTCAGGCGCCTGCATGGTCTCTGCATGGTCTCTGCGCTAGGCGATCCCTACTCTATAAGTGTAAATGCTTGTACCATTGACAAGCATCTACAAGCTCCAATGAGGCTGGTGCTTACGTGTTGGGGCCTTCAACTAAAAGCGCCCCTCCCCAGGGCTCATCCTCTAGTGAGATCAGGTCTCCCATTGTTGCTTACCAAGTTACCATCTGCAGAAACTGGTCCTGACAAGAGCAATCGGTAGTCTGAAATCGAACCCAGACAGTTCTCATTGGTCGCAAACAAGTCAAGGATGACAGCTGAGGGCTGCCTGTCTGCAGCTTGCTTGAGACAGGGGCTATTAATAACTGAGGCATGATTTGCTTCATAGGACTACTATGAGTACTGTACAGTTCAAGTGCGTAGTACTCCTTGGAGCAATGTGCGCGCTTTATTTTTAATTACTTCTAGATGATGTGGTTGACATACAAGAGTATTCCTTGACGCCGGCGCTATCAGGTCATGGTTTAATAAGGGCTGTTTCTGGGGCCCTGCTAACTGTGCCATCGAATACATGGTTTACTGTACTTACTGTTAGTGCAGGCAGCGTACCTCCGAGAGTATTAAGATACTTATAATCCAGACTTTAGAGATTCTATCACTAAGCTCTCTTTAGCCGGGCAAGCTTACATGATGCACCTATCTTCCGGAGTCTGAGTAAGATAGAGATGATGATGGTATGCCTATACATTTCATCGGTGCGTGTAAGGACTGTTAAAGGTTTCAGGAGAAATAATGACAATAACGATGATGATCTACTTACGGTTCGTCGAGGGAGTCCGCCGAATAGTTTCTCGTGAGGTGTTTGATTTTTAGACTGGGTTTCAGTTTTCATTTTGAATACATATCTGAATCAAAGACGGCGACTGCACTAAGAACGAGATCTACAATAAACAGTGACACGAAGCAATGCAACTAAAACTTTCCCCGTATACCACCACGCTCCACGCCGCCCCAAAGGACAAACTTGGGCTCCAGTCCCTTCCCAGCTTCCTCGGCCTGCGCTAAGCCTTCCGACTCCGGCAGAAGGACCACGTTCTCCGGGTAGATCTTCCCCAGAAGCGCCAGAGCAACGACCGGGTCTTGCACGGGAATCACATGGAGACCGCCATTTTGAGCTGTAACGAGGCTGTCTTTTTCGTGCCCCGTCTCCAGGAGGACGGATGCGGCGTCGTGGACCACGGGGGACGTCGCGCCGTGCATACCGTTGGATGACGTCGCGGATTTACTGGCACTGGACGCCTGGTAGGCGTAGCGGTGGCCACGCGCAACCTGTCCCAGGTCCACGGAGACGCACTTGCCGTTGTCGAGCTGGAGTTGCAATTCGAGCTGCCGGACCGCTTGGGATGACGAGGTCGAGCCGGGTGTCGGTGGAACGACTCCGATGCTGGTGCTTTGTACGCCGAGTGCTGGTGTGCCCCAGCCATTGGCCACCGGGTATCTCTCGGACTGAAGCACCGAAGGCTTCTCGGTGCCGGCGGGGATCTCGACGCGAGGCGCCAGATAGTAGTCCTGGATTCGGTAGTCGAAGATGACACCTTTTGGTGCGTCGTCGACCAGCTTGGCGGGGATATACTGGAGAAGATGGAACGGAGTTGGCCCACCGGCCAGGAAAGCGGGCAGGACCAGGCCATGGGCATATTGGAAACCGTAGCCGGGGCTGGCCTTGGGCGAAGTCAGGCTGGAATGAGACAGAAGGCCTGGAGCAAGGAGAGCCTGGGCATGTTTAATGATTGCTGATTGGGTGACCTCCTTGGTCAGAAGGTGGGTGAGAAACTCCGACCGGGATGGCTCGAGATGCCGGATGCCTCTAGCGGCTCGGCCATCAACAGGGATGATCACATCCTCGTAGTTCTTGAACGGCAGCAGAGCGTCACGCAGGAGGACCATCTGATGCATATACTCGTTGAACAGCTGCATCAGATGCGACTGACTGCGACGGCCGAACATTAGGTCGACATTGGGCGGGATGAGCAGATGGCCCTCACAGGGGCTGCGAAGGTAGAGGTCGGGATTGAATGGGCCACCTGTGTGGTTGCGCGCGTATTGGACGAGCGTCTGTCCAATACGTCTGGCCTGCTCGGCGATTTCTTGGCGGGAGGCATCGAGATCAGTGTCGGGGAAGCGCAGAGTGGCTTCTCGGGTGTTGATGTCAAGATTAGCGGCTAGGTTGTCAAGCAGTTGCGCCCGCGCTGGTCTGGCGTTTGGTGGATCTGGACCTAGCCGGAACACAACCGTGTCCAGCAGTGGCGCAAACCCTTCGACTAGTTGACGGGGCGTGTAGAGACCGGACTTGAGGCCCCAGGCCTCGCGAGGGGTGTCCTTGTCATGCACGCCGGCGTCAGGCCGGACGGGGATACTCTGGCCGACCAGGATAGGGCCTGCACCTCCGGCACCGAGACCGGATAGGCGAAATACGGTGTCTGCAGTAGCTTTCATGGCGGCAGCTCTGATCATGTTGTTGTCAAAGACCAGCTGAAGGAGGAGGATTCGTAGGACACCGAGGCTAGGACGCATCGTGCCCTGCCCTGCGTAGTTATACCAACGACTAGAGGAACGGACAAAGGCAGAACCAGGTAAAACGTCGCCGCCATGTTGCGGAAGCTGACAAATTGCGTATCCAATTGCTCCTTCTTGTGTTGTGTGCCTCCGTCGCCTTTGCTGCAGAGTCCGGAGAAGACTGGATGTGGTCCTCACGCCCGCCCGGAGTTGGTGGTCGTTTGACGACCACGAACTCCGGCGGCCGCAGCTCATGTCTAGAGAAACAGATTCCGCTGTCCAAGATACTCGTTTCGAGTCATACAATGCAATGCACGTTTTTGAGCGCATGAAGCATGGACCGGACTGAAGGACGCGGGTGTTAGGGCTCTCTGACGTGGTGGAGTGGACTTTGTGGTACCGGTGATGGAAGCTATATCTGGCCTCTATTCGTCATGACTCGGTCGAAATCATCAAGAGTTCCACTGTGAAGAAACGAAGAAACTGGCCTAAGTCGCTCTACTGGACAGCAATCAAATCTCCCACCATGGTTAACCACGATACCGTCGACCTGCCCGTCATCGACTTTGCAGCCCTCAGCGAAAAGGATGCAGCGGGCCACCGCACTGCCGTCTCCATCGATGAGCGCCGTCGACTCTTCACGGCCCTTCGCGACACCGGCTTCGCATACCTGAAGCACCCTGGGGTGAACCAGGTCACAGTGGACGAACTCTTCGCGCATTCCCGGCGCTTCTTCGCCAAGCCGCTGGAGGAGAAGATGCAAATTCTCGGCAAGCTCGACAAGGGCCGCGGCCCAAGCCAGGGGTACTCCAACCCGCAGAAACTGGCCCACAATCCCCAGACTTCGGACCTGAAGGAGTTCTTCGGCATGTATCGCGATGACGACACCGAGAAGCCCAATCAGTGGCTGTCCGACGCCGACTCGAAGGCCATGCGGACGGATCTGGTCCGGTTCTTCGACTCGTGCCACGGGGTCATCCTCGAGCTTCTGAGCGCTCTCGCGGAGGAAGTCGGTCTGGCCGCCGAGACGCTGCACCCGTTCATCAGCGAGAAGAATCATTTCATTGCCTGTTTGCATTATCCGGCCACCGAGCCGGAGTCGTTCCGGACGAGGGTCCGCGCGGCGGCCCACACGGACTATGGATGTATGACGCTGTTGTTTAATGACTCGGGCGAGGGTCTACAGGTGCTGCGCAACAATGGCCAGTACGAGTATGTTCCTCGTAAGGACGGGTGTGCGGTGCTGAACGGTGAGCTGTCCCATTTCTCCATTTGCAAATTTTTTGCAAGCAGAGGAAACAAGAGATACTGATTGAATTCCCGGGCCCACAGTCGGCGATCTTCTCTCCCGATTCTTCAACGGGGTTCTACCATCCACCATGCACCGGGTCGTGGAGCCACCGGCCACGAGGAGCGGCTCGTCCGCGGACCAGGTCCCGGATCGCTACTCGATTGCCTTCTTCGGGCACTTCAACCTGGATCTGCTGGTGAAGCCACTGGATGCGCTGGTGTCGGCGACGAACCCGGCCCGCTTCGAGCCCGTGGTGGCGGGCGAGCATGTCAAGGCGCGCGTGAAGCAGTTGCATGTCGCCGGCCATAGCCTGACGGACAACGTGAAGAACGCCGAGAGCCGAGCTGCCGTGACGCAGCCGGCTGTTGCGAGTGCGTCGGCTTGAGCCCTGTGCAGCCGGGTCGAGCTATACTAAGAGACGTGTCGGGATTCGCTATTCGATCATTTGATGAAAATGTATGATACAAATTGCAAAATCGCATTTTCAATCTTATTGCTGAACTGTCCATGGGTAACTAAGCAGGAACTAAAGTATATCCACGAATACACTCATGAGCATTCATACAAGCAATTGCGTAAATCGTCATAAATCGTCAGCGTTACATTACAGGCCCAGTACATCTCAAAATTTGATCCCGTCTGTATGCCCACCATGACCAAAGACGCAGGTTCCGTCGGCCAATCCAACATATTCACGAAAATTGCTCCAGCGCACAGAGAATGATGAACGACCGAAGCTCATTGGAGTCGCCAAACCCCGCATTCGTCGTGAAATTCGCCCGCAGATAGTCCTTGGCGAACTTGGAGAAAAGCGACTTGAGCGAGAGTGGGTGATGGTGATTTGGGAGCTGCTCGCCCACGGCGATGTGCGGACCCGCGGCGGCACCAGCAGCACTAGCGGCAGCAGCGCCAAAGGTAGAAAAAGCGTCGGAGGTGCCCGGGGAGCCCGTAGGGGACGCCTGCTTGGCCATCTGCGTGGCCTTGCGCCACTCGTCTTCGGTGCGGGCGCTCCACAGCGCCTGATTGCAGGGCAGGGGCATCTTCATGATGAGCTCGTCGTTGAGGGGCTCATAGTAGGGCAATTGGCGCCCGGACTCCAGATCGCGGTTACTGAAGAAGTTGACAATGTTAGCAAGGAACATGGTGCGGCGGGCAGTTTCAGTGACGGCCCATTTGACCCAGGAGCTATTGGTGTCGGTGTCGGGCAGGAGTGCCGCGTCGTGACACTCAAGGTAGGACCGCGAGAAACACTGGGTCATTTTGGAGAGGAAGGGGGACTTCAGCCCTCTTGTGCGTCGCTTTCGTTTCCAGCTCTCAGATTCGTTGATGGGCGCCATGCCCATCTCAAGGATCTCATAGAGGAGCATCGCATGCAGAGCGTCCCACTGCTCCAGACAGTGGTAGGTAGGCTGGACAGTCTCTTTGTCAGCCCGCTGGAGGTAACTAATCTCTCAAGCATCGCCAAGGTGCTTACATATGACTCAATCAGGCTTTGCCGTTGCGCATCCATGGCTCGCTTGATATAGCCCACACCGTCTCTGTTGCCCAAAGCACTTCCGCAGCATATGGCCATGGATGTATGCGGAAGAATCGTCATATCTGGCATATCCTCATTGAACAGGGTGCGGTGCAGAAATGGACAGTAGAAATCATCCTGCAGCAGGAGTTTCGGGTACTGTAGAAGCAGACGCGCATAGTTGGCTGGGCGCACTCCCAGCACGTCTGGACTGGACAACGGTGCCTGAGGCGAGTCGGTTTTGGCATCCTGTGAGCCGAGCCCGGTCAGCGTGGACAGATCGGGGATCCCTGAACCCGGCGGCGCGATGGTCTCCTCGACCAGCGGATTGTACGACTGTTGTGATGAAGGCGAGGTCAGCGGAAAGGTGAAGCTCGGATGTCTGGTCGGGATCGCCGGCGCGGGGCCCAGAGTAACTTCGTTGACCATGCTGGTCGATGAGGAGGGCAGTGACGGGAGATTGATTGTATCCAGGGCCCAGAGGAAGTTCTGGGAGCTCCATGAGTCTAAGTTATCAGCGCCGGGATCGCCCAGCGGGCTCCGACGGCTCCACAGCAACGGGAGGTCGGTCGTGCTCATGCTGGTCTCATCCGGTTGGGAAGGGTCTTTGGCCGAGAGAGAAGAGGAAGAGGCCGAGGCAGAAGAGGCGGAATAGGCCGAGGCAATGGTGGCTGCTGTCTTGGCCATGGACATGTATTCGCAGACGATGCCCCGTTTGGCACAGCGCGAGCAGGTCGGCTGTGTGTAGCAGCATTTGGTCTTGGCCTGCACGCATGCATTACACGCCTTGCGGCGCATTGTGGGTTTGTCCGATCGCAGACACCGTCGTCGATGGCGCAAGAGGAGGTCCCCTGGAATCCATCGGCCTAGATATCAGCACCAGATGCATGCAAGAAGATAGAGACAAGACAAACGTCGTTGGTAGCTCTTGAAACAGGAGTCGCACACGTGAGCCTCGTTGGGCGGCTCGGATCCTGGCATGGTCGAAGTGCGGCATCGAAGGGGATACCAGATAGGAAATGACAAGCAAGCGTGGGAATGCCAGGTTTAAGTGCAATGTGCTATCCATTCACAGACTCGTGACAGGGAGCGAGCCATAGGGATCGACATGATTGTCTTCTCGATCCTTCTATGTCTGCAGCCTGGGCTGGAAGGCAGGCAAGGGGGAAGGCATGGGTAGAAGAAGGACTGGATGAAACCAGGGTTAGGATGAAAACATGAGGTTTGAGGCGCATTACCAGCGCCATCCCATGTGTGGTAAGGCGCGGGGCCTAGTCGCTTTGTATGGCGTGCTCTGCTCGTGCTGTTGGCGTCTTATTATTCATGGAAGACGACCAATGTAACCTCGCCTACTTGTCTATCTATTGTGGCTGATCTTCGTCTGAGCAGATATCAGTCCCATCGCAACCAATCACGGCCGATTACGGCGAGCCCGAAAACTATTACGTGCGAGGCGAGGTTATCTCCCAATGAAAAGCCCTGTCTGCATTCTTCACCCGGCCTTAGTGCTGACGACGCGGTGCGCAATCAATCTATTTTATCACACAGGTGGCCTTATCGACCTTGATGGAAATGACCAGAATGATTTGATTGTGGTGATGACAATAAAATACGGAGTCAAACAACTTGGATTCATATCAAACGCGCATCAGAACCCACTGAGGCCAAAAGACGCGTCTATCCAACGTCTCCTCACGGATTTTAACGCTCCACTTGGAACGGTTCGGCCCGGTTGAGGAAAAACTTAACCTTAGATCTTGCGTGCCGTAAGCCATCGGACTTTGGGCGTATAGCCAATCTGTTTCATCTCCGCAACCAGCTCGTCCAGCCATGTGAGATACTCGTCGGGGGTGCGGGCCACGCCGGGAATGCCCTCGGCTAGAGTTGTGACGTCTCAGTCAGTAGGATGGCTATGCCCTCAGGCGTGGTACATACCAGGGATCTTACGAGCCAGATGGCGGAAGGACTGGGGGAGGAGCTCGGCGGTCCACATGCGGTCCTCGGGTCTCTTCGACGTTGCACCGTAGCCCAGATCGAACGTTTCCACCTTCATATCCACAAAGCCGAGGGGAAGCAGGAGATCCGGGAACTTCTTCCAGATGTGCACGTCCATCCCGGACGAACTGGTCGACCACTCCTGCACCTTGGCAAGCTTCTTCTGCTGCACCTGCTCGTCACAATACGAGCTTAGGACCCATTCCGCCTCCACTAGCTGCAGGACCCCACCAGGTTTGACGACGTTGGCCAGATTCGCGAGGACCCGCGGCCACTCGTCCTCTCGAATCCCCCAGACCAACAGCCGCTGGTGTACCAGGTCGAAACTGTCCTTCCAGCCCCAGGATTCGGGGAAGGGCTGGCGCACATCATGCTCCCGCAGTTTCAGTCGAGGGTCCGACCGGAACAGCGCCTTGCCCAAGTCCACGCCGTAGAGATCCAGGTCGGGCCTGTCAGTGCCAGCCAAATCCGCTAGCCATGTGCCTGCCGATGCTACCTTTAGTTTCTTCCGCGGGCGGGCACCAATGATGGTCGATTTGCTTTTACAACATGCAGGGGTTGCGGGTTACACTCACCGTCTGCGCAGCCAGAGTCGAGCACTCTGGCCCCTTTAGGTAGCTCGACAGAGGTCAGCTTGTCCTCGGTGGCGGCTTTGATGAAGAAGTGTTGGCGCTGCAGGCGCTTGATCTCCTCCTGGTGATGAGGGAGAAGGTAGACTCCTTCGGTCCCACTGAACTCGTCTTTGATCTGGGTTTCAGGAAGCGGACGGTGCGCCGCGGTCGGTTTAATCGGAGCCTCCATTTCTGGTCAATGCGGTACAGCGATACTATTGAGTGTGTTGATTATCCCTGGTCAAACCTGTCTGTCTGTCTGTCTGTCTGCCTGTGCTCGGCATGGTGCCTGAATCTTGGTTATAAATGTTGCTCGCTGCTTTCTTCGTGACCTCGTAGGACCTGGAATCATGGTGGCCGGTCCATCTTGCTCCGCAACAGATACGGAATCTGTGAAGCCTCTGCCTGCCGAGGTCAACTCCGACCTACGGTCTTTCTCTGTCCTTTCTTTTCTTCGGGGAGAAGAGGGGAGGGGGAGGATATGGTGGATCCGTTGAGAGGGACATGAAGAGGGCTACGGGGAGACAGAACGCAGCAGAATGGTTGATCGGCATGATCTGCAAGACGCCATGCATTTCCACCATCAGGGGGATTGCCGGGTGACGATGTCGTTATCTGAAGCGCCGCCACCAAAAATCCAAACAACTCCGGACGTAACTGTCCTCGCTTCGGAGAATGAGGTCGTGAAACGCTACACCCGATAACGTAAACGGTGGTCAACGCAGCTAGCACTGATCCTCCGATGTCATGTCAGCACTAGCGAACATCTAGTCAATTCTCCGTAACCCACATGAGACGGTCTTCCGAGGGCGTCGAAGCGAAGACCAACATGCATCTGGATCCTTCGTATGCAGCTAGTGGTTTTGGCGCGCCCCATGGCGGTCGTGGCACCCTGGTGGGGGGGTGGTAAACGACGGCGTTAACACTGGTCTGGAATCGTTGATAGACTAACAGGCCTAGGAATAGAATCTTCACGTTTTCACGTCATTTTGGGGTCCATTGGCGTTATGTCGAAGTGGCGCACGGTCCTGTGATTGATCGCAGTATAGGCGCCCTCACAGTGGTAGATCGATTGTAAGCGAAGAACCCTGTAATGGTGGACTATGTGATCATACATGCCATAGTACGCGATGTTTTTTGTTTTATTTTGTTTTTGATGGAATCCAAGTAACGCAGTTATGCCTCCCCTCTAAGGTCGAGAGGTTATCATGCTGAAGTTACTACGCAGAACTGTATACATCAGGATGGGTGACGATGTGCATTCTGAGCCAGTTACTGCTATTCTCTGGGTAACCTGTAAGCAACGCAGGAGAGGAAGGCTGATGACAGAGATAGATCAGAGAATGTGATTTATATTCCTATACAATGATACATTTATTGTTCATCCATTGCTTTCAACCAAAAGGGGTAGAAAAGAGTGATCGTCATGCAGAACCAGGGCGATGGTACATTGTCCATGAGTCGTATCCCACAATTCCCGTAGTATCAAACCGATTGCACGTAATTTGGGACAGAGGAAGGAAACAGGCCATTGGCCACATCCTGCCCTGCCGCATGGCCCATCTGCTTGAGTTGCCTCCGATTGATCTTGAATCCTGTCGTGGGAAAGTGAGAGAGGCACCGGACACCACCCGTCAGCTTCCGAAGCCCGGTGAGCTTTTGGTTGGCGAAGTGTAGAATGTCTCGCTCCAACTGGTGGGTGAGTTGGGGATTCTGATGATACTCGGGCTTGAGGATCACGAACGCGGTAGGCTCATCCAGCTGGGTGAAGTCATTGCGAATGCCCACGACCACGACACTTGCCACCGCGGGATGCTCAAACACCACGGCCTCCAGCTCCGCAGCGGAGATGTGCGTCCCGTAACCGCCCCCGACCTTGAGGAGCTCCTTGATCCGATCCATGATGAAGACGTTGCAATTCTCGTCGAGGTGCCCATAGTCCCCCGTGTGGAACCAGCCTTCGGAGTCGAAGTCGCGATTGGCCACCTCGTTGTCCTTGTAGCCCTTGAATCGACACAGCTGATTGCGCACCAGAATCTCGCCAGCCTCGCCCACTCCCAGTTCCTGGCCGGTGACCGTGCTGATGACTTTGGCTTGCATTCCGTTCACGAGTGTGCCACTGTACCCACTGCGGCGGGAGTCGTCGTCGCGCTGGATTGCAATGAGCATGGTCTCGGAGGTGCCCCATTCGAGGTCCAAGTGAACGCCCCCGAATTGGTTGGAAACCGTCTGCCGCAGGTTTTCGTGCATGGGGGCGCCAGCCGTGAGGAGCCACTTGACACTACTGACGTCGACGCCGGACGCTTGGAAGTCAGTCCGCGCCAGGCGGGCTGCAATCGGGGGTGTGATGAAGAGAAAGCTGACCTTGTGCCGGCCGATCACGTCAACGGTCGTCTCATCGAGGGGACCGTTCATGAGTACCACGGGGATCCCCAGCAGGATGTTGAGGCCCATGTTGAGCTTGGCGTTGATGAAAAATCCCAGTGACAGGGGCGAGAGCCAGACATCATGGTCTGGGTCAGTATTGTCCGGAATCGTGCCGATGGTACCTTCCATCGTGGCAATGAAATGGGCATGGCTGGTGAGTACGGACTTGACGTTCCCCGTGGACCCGCTCGTGCGGTTCAGAAAAGCATCATACTCCTCTGCGCCGGCCTCCGATTCTAGCCGGAAGAGGTCAGCGTCAGGGCGGCCGCGTGCAAGAAGACGCTCCAGAGATGCCCACAATTGGTTCGGGCTGTCGTCGAGCGTGATTAGGCGAACAGCGCCGGCTAAGTTCGTCGACACCTCGGCGAGGAGCAATAGGTCGCTGTCGGTGATAAGCAGCTTCACCTGCGACTGCACTAGTCGAGTCGCAATGTCCGTTTCGGACATCTCTTGCTGCACAGGGATGAGGGCCACCGTAGCTCCGGCGGCCAAAGCGCCAAAATAGGCGATTGGATATTGGATCTGCTCCCACGCGGTTAGCCGCAAGCGCAGGACTAAGCAGAGATTACCCCCAACATACCCTGTCCTTGGCGAAAATGCCGACGACATCCTTGGGCATGATATCATACTCCGAGCGAAGAGCATCAGCTAAGCGTCGGCTTTTCTCCTCGAGCTCTGCCAGCGTCAGGGTTTCACCGGTCTGGTCGACGCGGTAGAGCACTCGACTCCATGGATATGGTCGTCTGCCCTGGTGAAAGATGTAGTTGAACACATCAGTCTTGGGTACGGAGGGTAGAGGAAGTTTGGATTCAAAGATCATGGTTAATGCCGCCAAGCCAGTAGAATGAATTCGCAGGTGGGATACTGGACAACAGTGAGATTCGTAACAGCTGTTGAAGTCTGTTGGTATCGTAGATGCCACCCCGTATCCTCGGTGTGACTCCTGTCTTCTAAAGTGTTGACTCTGAGTAACAATGTGATGAACGGGAAGCGATTAAATACGGGTCGAGGGTCGTATCTCCACTCTGGATATCCGCAAGTCCACAATGCCTATCATCGCAAGGGCTGCCATGTGAAGAGACGAAGCAGAGTCCTGATGGACCCACAAACACCGGAGTTGGTGACGGTCCCGATAGTGCTAGCTGTTGCCGTGCAGTACCACCTTCTTCATGCCACGCCCTGCGTGACAAGTACTATCTTGATGAGGCTTGCAGTAGACGTAACTCCGGCATTCTCTTTCTCTTTTGGTGGGGCTCACCACAAACTGGCGCTGGCTCCGGCGTGGTGTTGAGAAGGCCAAGGTCCGGTCCAGAACTATGATGAAGACCTGGCAAGGGGAGCAAGCGTCGGAGATGGCGCTGTGTCTGAACGGATCTCCCTGCCGATCAAGCCACTAAGTATTCTTCATCCCCCAAAGCCCCATGTGTTGACAGAGCTAGTTGTGCCTGAAGGATTCGATCCCCAGCAAGTGAAACAGATGAGCACGTCAGGACGTTTCGTAATGCACGGAAAACCGACGGAACGACTGCGAACTCCGTGAAGAAAGAGGATTGGGATTGAATCGGACGACGCCGTGGGAGACTAGGACTTTGATGGAGGGCAGCCATTGGCAAAGGTGAGGGAAGGAGGGTGGGTGGCTATGGTTCAATCGTATTCGGGCACCGGGGACGAAGGTAGGGCGGGCGTGTTGCCATTCGAGATACGGAGACTTATGAGAAGGCGCCGGGGAAGCTGGACGTAGTATCGTAGAATTTCATGCCTCTTAATCCCACTGCTGTGAGCTCTTGGTGTATCAGGATCGAGCTGGAAGCTGGATAGGCTCGTCGATCCAACGCACCGGTGATCAAGTTCTTGATATTATATCATCAACCACAGTAAATCGGCACAACGTCTTTAGTATTGCCCCTTCTTTGAAAAAATGATACTGAGCATGTTGAGCCCAGACCTCCAGCTGGGAAAGGTGCCTCCGCCTAGCCAAAACGGCGTGGAATTGGGCTCATCGGATGCTTGGACGCCCCAGAGTTGGCGAAAGCGTCCGGCGATTGCGCAGGAGATTGAATACAAAGAACCCTTGGCACTCGAGGAAGTCCTGCGCACCGTCGCGTCCTTACCGCCCCTGGTCAGCCCGGTCAAGGTTGAACTGGCCCGCAAACACTTTGCGGCAGCGGCTCGCGGAGAAGCCTTCATCATCCAGGGTGGAGATTGTGCAGAGAGCTTCCAGGACGTGCGGCCCCTGATCGTGCAGCAGAAGGTGCAGCTGCTTCACGAACAGTCGCGGCTGATCAGTGACTCTCTGGGCCTGCCCGTGATCACGGTGGGAAGAATCGCCGGCCAGTATGCCAAACCGCGATCCTGTCCCTTCGAAACCTTGGCCGATGGGTCTCAGGTCTACAGCTTCCGGGGCGAAAACGTCAACGGGTTCCATCCCGACGATCGCACACCCGACCCCAACCGATTGCTGCAGGCATATTTCCACTCCCGGGCGACATTGGATCTGATGAAAGCCTGCCCGCCACTGCTGACGCCCCCGTCAGTCGATGCCATCGCTTCGCCGGGAAGGGACCTCTTCCGCACGAATATCCTGGGTGAGCCGGGACAAGGGGCCATCTTCACATCGCATGAAGCCCTACACTTGCCGTACGAGAGCGCTGTCACCCACGGCCGCTATAACACGTCTGCCACGTTCGTCTGGATCGGCGAGCGCACCCGCCAGCGCAATGGTCCGCACATCGAATATGTCCGGGGGATCCGCAACCCGATCGGGATCAAGGTGGGACCAACCATGCGCCCACAGGAACTGGTGGACCTGTTGGATATTATACTACAGCCCCAAGACCGGCACGATACCCAAGATGGTCGAGTGACAATTATCACGCGGTTGGGCGCTGATCAGGTCGAGACGGTGCTGCCTCCGCTCATCCACGCCGTGCGGAAAGCAGGCCACACGCCTGTCTGGATGTGCGACCCCTGTCACGGCAATACCAAAGTCACGCCCTCGGGGATCAAGACCCGCTGTGTCGAGACCATTGTTCGGGAGGTCATCCGCACCTTCGAGGTTCATCGAGCCAACGGGTCGTTCATGGGGGGCCTGCACCTTGAACAGACGGGCGAATTCGTCACAGAGTGCGTGGACGCCTGGGACACTTATTGCGAGCGGGATTTGACGACAAACTACCGCAGTCTGTGTGATCCGCGACTGTCGTACATCCAAGCCTTAGCAGTGGTTCGGTCTTTCCTGGATCATGTCCGCTGTTCTACATCAAAAGCTCATGGTCTGTGACGGTACCGGTTGCAACGTTCTACAGTTGGGTAGTTGCTTTTTTGGCACTCGGCTTGTGACTGTTGATTTATTGGAGGCAAAGCAGTAGAAAGAGGGATACATGGTGTTACAGCAATCTATGATCCACGAACGGAGTTTGAATACAGCCCAAGCTTCCATTATAACCATCCATGATTGCTCCCTTGGTCTCAGGCATGAAATAGTTTATTGCTCACATATAGTCTGGTACATTATTTTGCTTGACTGGCTGCACTTTCCGTAGATGCTGGAAGAATGAACTGTGTCAGATGCCATCGTCATGTTGCATCTGACACATAAGTCGTACATACTGTGATTGACGCTCAGCATGAGCCTTATGAGCAGGTAGTTGACGTATTCGAGAGAAGAGCAATATGTGAGGGATGAAGCGAGGTCGAGAGTGTTTCTGGATTGCTATCTGGGCAAGGGGGATATGGAACTATACGGACGCCTTGCTATGCCTAAACCGGCAATCTTCAAGCCTTTTTGGATTGCTCTCTAGGCGAGTGGGCTACTACTCCCATAGTGATCCTTTCCATAAGACTCTCCGACCCTCATTGACCCACCAAGGGACGGATGTCCCGACGATCGTCCTGCTCTAGCGCCGGAGAAACGACCTATACGACCACCATCTCCGAAATCAAAAGAAGTACTAGTAGGTACTACAAGCTTAAGTTTATAACTTAAATCCCCTGGCCGTGAAGATGAGGCAGTATATCGTCCAGCAAATCTACACTGCCTGTGAAGATGAAGCACCTTGTCGCATTCACCCTCAATGCCGCTCTCGTGCTGGGCGTTGTTGTCCTGCAACGGCGTGACGAGTCCACACAACAGCATCCTCTCATTGACAGCTTTCGTCATTCCCCAGGCGTCGCAACCAATGACGCTCTTGTTCGCCAGTGCATAGCACCGGGCGTGGTCTGCGTCGACAAACATGGGGCCAACCTTCCTTATCCCTTCTGGCGGGATTCTCCGAACGGCACCTACGCCACAAACCTGGCGGACATCGAGTTCAACGGCGGCCGAGGCCAACCCAAGTCCACCTCCTGGGAACATGTGGAACGAGCGGACTTTGTGGTTTTCGACGAGGAGCGTGGACGGAAACTCCTTGGCGAGAACCCCCGCGTGGACTTTGTCTTCTCCGTCAATCCGTGGGCGCTGCATGAGGCGCCGACGTACGTGCCGGGCCTCCACAAGATCTTCTTCTCGGAGCTATCGCCCATGCTGGAGCAGTTCGTCATCGATTTGAATGTCGACCCGCCCACCCTGTCCGAATTCCGGGCGGATCCCCCCATCTACGTGCCCAACGGCGGGTTCTACTACGACGGCCTGATCTACTACTCCGTGGCCGGCAGCAGCCACAAGCACAAGCAGCGCCCCGGCATCGTCACCCTTGATCCATGGACGAATAAGTCATCCACACTGCTGAACAACTATTATGGTCTGACCTTCACGGACTGTGACGATGTCATCGTCGACCCCGTCACGGGCTTCGTCTGGTTCACCGTCCCCTATTACTCCTGGTGGCTGGAGGTGGCCGACACCCCGCCACAGCTCAAGTCAGCCACCTATCGCTTCAATCCTGCCACGGGGTCCACGGTCGTCGTCAATGACGAGATGCGCTCGCCGAACGGCATCGCCATGAGTCCCGACCGGAGACACGTCTACATCAGCGACACCGAGGCCGCGGGTCAATCGGCGCCGATCTCCCTCGATCTGCCCAGCCCCGGCGTGGCCGGTCTGCTGTTCAACACCACCGGCAAACGAACCATCTACAAGTTCGATCTCATCGATCATGGACACGCCCTTGCCAACAAGCGTCCCATCCACTACGACGCAATCGGCACGGTGCCCGATGGACTCAAGGTGGCCCGGAATGGATGGGTGGTGACGGCGAGCGGGAATGGATTGAGCGTGATGGACGAGTATGGGGATATGATCGCGCGCGTGCAGGTCAATTTCACGGTCAATAACTTTGTCTGGTCAGATGTGGACGACTATCGTGAGGTGTGGATGGTGGGACAGGGAGGCGTTGGACGCGTGAGATGGGATCTCCAGGGGCAAAAAGCCGTTTGATAGCGTACTACTCTGCTGGCAAGTGTCGGAAATGTCAAATGGATGAGCAGCTGTATAGAAAGAAAGAATTCTTTTGGCTAGTCCTGAATGTATATTTTTTTATCAATAGACCGGATTATCCATGTGTTAACCCTCTCAGATGCCCGCTCGCTCCATCTCTAGGGAGGCCAGGGCAAACGCACTGGTCCCAATCAAGCTGTTCGTTGTGACTGCTCGGTGAGTATAATACTGCAGAGATTGTCATTAGCCAGAAGACATCGGACCTCGAAAAGCGGACAAAACGGACCTCGTAATACGGCTTCTCTTCATGCAAGCTGGCGATGATGCTCGTCCCCAGGAAATCCAGGGTGTCGTCCTCTTGTCTGCGAACGACAAATTGCTCAACCACATCTTGATAGAGAGCGCGTGCAACAGCCAGTACGTCCTGAGATCGCACCTGATCACGGAAACCCGGCATCGGGCCCTGGACCCGAAGATACGACGATGCACGGTGTTTTCCAACCGTCTCCACAGTTGGCGAACGTCCGGCCCCGGGCAAATAGCCTAGACGCACCCCCTTCGCCAACACATACGCAATCATGGCACTGGCACTGGCTTCGACGAAATTCCCAGGCTCTCCCGGCCGATCCATCACCTGCCAGACGGCATAGCGCCCCGTCTTTCCGGCGGAGTCCTCGATGGCTTCCACCGTCGCTCGGGCGAGACGCTGAAAAATTTCAAGGATGCGCTGGACGGTCTTGTCCTTGCGCATCGCATCCGCGTTGTCTTCATACTTGGATGCGATGATCTCCAGGGTGTCCACCGTGCCAATCAGGTACCATGCGAGACTCCGGCCCCACACAATGGGACTGGCGCCAGTGATCGGGTGCGCCCAGGGAGCTTCTCGCGATGCATCGTAGCCGTGCTTGATCAACCCCGTGGATGGCTCGATGCTCTGCTTGTAAAGAAGATCCAGCTGAAGCAGGGCGGAGTCGAGGTTGACACGTGGGTCGCCGTAGGTCATGCCGTACAAGGTGGCGAAGGGAGCGAAGCCGTACATGCCGTCGCTGTACGAGAGATTGCCGTACGGTGGGTAGGGGGGCGGCGGATCGACGAAGTACCAGAATCCGGCGTTCTCGTTTCGATATTGCAGTTCCAGGGATTTCCGGAGGGCCTTGAGTACGTTGCGATGGAGTGGCTCATCGAGATTCATCTCCCTGGATGGTCGAGTACTCTAACGTCAGTCGGGGCTCATATCATATCAATTGATTGGAGAGATAGCTCTGGCACGAACATAATTGAACGACCGACACACAACCGGTCAAGCGACAGGTCGCGTGAGGATGCCGTCGCATTGAGGAGGTCCTCTATGTTGGCCTCCACGCTGCGACGGTGATAATCCGACCATCTGGCGATCTCTGCTGCGTCGCTGGACTGGGCAATGGCTGCTCTGAGCGCTTCCTGGAATAATCCCTGTGCGTGTAAGTGTTAGCAATCAGTACTCACGACCATGCCACGACAGTGCTGCACCTTCTGAATGACCCCCAACAGACCGTCGGCCGGATTGATTCCTTCGCCTCGCGCGATGACACTCTCCAGCATCCACGTGGAGTGCTTCGGATGGCGGACGGCCTGACCAGGCCTGTCGGCCAGGACCAGCGAGAGCAAACATGACAGTGGATAGAGAATCTTCATAACGCCGCTTGAGTAGAAGTTAACCATGAAATCGAGAATCAGCGTGGGTGACGGGCGGCCGTTGGTTTATGGTTGACCAGGGACCTACAGTCGCTTGACTCCGGGCAGGCCGGCCCTAAAAGTTGTCCCCGGAGTTGGTGGTCGTGGGCCCCGGAGTTCGGTGGTTGGCTTCGGCGGATCGCCGTGGCTCCCAAGTCCGGTCTTGGACATGATGGTTGCATGCCACCGATGTTTCTTTAAAAGGAAATACATTCCTCCTCCTCCTCCTCCTTCTTCTTCTTACCATTGTGTTCTTTGGATCATAGTCCATTGCCCAAACAGACAAGCGTTATGGCTGCCGAGTCGAACCACAGTCGCAGCGAGACCCAATCGGTCTCCTCTCAGGGTGGTCTCCCGACAGGTGGGTATTCTTATGATCCTTCTGGGTGGACTTGGAACGAAGGAAATAACCATTCCCCACTGACAACAGGTACCATTCCTGAGAACGAGAAGTTTTCCACCCTGGATGATGAGAAGGGCACCAAGGACGAACATGTCTACATCGCGGATACCCTCCCCCTTCGACGCCAGATTCCCTTCATCCTGACTATCTGCTCGGCCATGTACACGAACCAGCTCGGGCTGGGCCAAACCATGGATATCGTTCGTATCATTGGGGACTGGTACGGAATCACCAATAGCAACGAACTGTCGTGGTTGGTGGCCGGCTACAGCTTGACCATTGGCACCTTTGTCCTGATTGCCGGCCGGCTAGGTGACGACTTTGGACATAAGAAGATGTTCATTATCGGCATGGGCTGGTATGCGCTGTGGACTCTTGTCTGTGGTCTGGCCGTCTATTCCACGCAGGTTCTCTTCATCTTCGCCCGTGTCTTCCAGGGAATGGGACCAGCGGTGACACTGCCCAACGCAATCGCCATTCTTGGCCAGTCATACGCCCCCGGGCCGCGCAAGAACATGGCATTTGCCTTCTTCGGCGGCAGCGCACCCTTTGGCGCCATCTCCGGCTTTGCAACTGGTGGCCTTTTTGCGCTGGCCTGGTGGCCGTGGGCGTACTGGAGCGCAGCCATCGCACTCACCTGTCTGGCTGTGTTTGCGGTCTGGTCTATCCCACCTCAACCAATGAGCACTACGTCCAAGACTCTGACGGTGGGCCAGAAGATCGCACACCTGGACCTTCCAGGCTGCTTCACAGGCGTGGCCTCTCTGGTCTTGATCAATTTCGCGTGGAATCAAGCCGCGGGGGTCGGATGGCAAGAACCATACGTGTATGTGTGCCTCATCCTAGGGTTCCTATTTGCGGCAGCCTTCTTTTGGGTGGAACTGCACTGGTCGGAAGATCCCATCCTGCCCCTTGCGGCCTTCAACTCCGACATTGCCTTCGTGCTGGGCTGCACCGCCTGTGGCTGGGCGACCTTTGGAATCTGGGTGTACTACGCCGCCGTCTTCGTCATGGAGCTGAACAAAGTCAGCCCGCTGCTCCTTGCTGCGTGGTACAGCCCGGTGATCCCCTCCGGACTTGGCTCGGCGCTCGCCGTGGGGAAGCTTCTCGGTCGTGTCTCGGCAGCGTGGGTCATGGTCATCGGCATGGTCGCGTACCTGATCGGGTCGATTCTCATCGCCACCATGCCGACGCACCAGATCTACTGGGGCAATTTCTTCTGGAGTGTGCTCATCATCTGTGTTGGCATGGACTCGTCCTTCCCTGCCGCGACGATCATCTTTTCTGACGCTGTGCCGCCCAAGTACCAGGGCATCGGCGCCAGTGTGGTCATGACCGTTGTGAACTATAGTATTTCACTGGGGCTGGGCTTTGCCGGGACGGTGGAGCGGGAGATCAACAATGGGGGTCACACCTATGACGATAAGAAGAAGGGGTATCGTGGCGCATTCTACTTCGAGGTCGGGTTGGCTGGTTTGGGCCTGATATTGAGTCTTGCCTTCTTGGTCAAGGATCACTTCCGCAAGAAGGCCAAGAAGGCAGCTGCTGCGTATGAGGACCGGAGTGCTTAAAAAGGGAAGACTGCGAGTGAAGGGAAGAAAAGTCAGTTGTGGTTCAAAGTCCGCGTACTGCAGATGGGATGAATAGAGGATGAGTGAGAAGAGTCTCGGTTTGGTCGACTTCACGATGTTCTACGTCTAGTCATATATCCCACTTTCCAGCTTGTGAAGAATCAACTACTACATGCATTAATATTAACTTCATTGGGCTCTGGGCTTATCATATGATAGAATAAAAGCAGCAGTAAAGGATAGATGGCATGGCAGTGGCTTTCTTTTCAATATGAAATAGACCTTTGACTTAAACTTGGTTATCATGATGTTGCTGGACTCACCAATACGCTAAAGCATCTTTAGCCACAATTTCAGTCATGACACAGTATTCTTTCCTAATCAACAGATAGGCATACTCAGGTATGACACATAGTACGAAAATATAAATATGAGAGCGTTCATTCGACTACCTAAGCTACCTCATCCCATCACATTCAGGGAAAGTTCGACCGCTTCCACTTCGGGTCGCTGTTGAGACAATTATCACGCACACTGTCAAAGAAGGACGTAAAGTCAAGTCTGGAGTACCGCTTCAAGAGCTCCTTCGACCTCCGAGTATCCACCGTACTGCGATCATGGCCCTGATTGGGATCATCCTCAGGCCACGGCTTCGCAGGATCGATCTTGCGGAACACATTCAGCCAGCTGTTGAAGTTGAACGGGCCGGCAAAGGCCAGCAGCCGCTCACTCTGCACATCCTCGTGCGTCAACCCCGCAATATGCAGCAAGGCCACGTCGGTGACATCGACAAAGTGCCGGGGAATGAAGGTCTGCAGGGGCTTGTAGTAATTGACGGGGTCATCGAAGAACTCCTTCACCCAGCGGCCAGTGCTGCCATTCTGCTGGGCATGGATGATGGGCCCCACGATGAAATCCGGTAGGACGGCGTTGACGACGAAAGCGGGATTGTTTTCCTGGGCGAACCTCCAGAACTCCCGCTCAGTGGAGGTCTTCAGGGCGGCATAGACGTCCCAGCACCTCTCGGGTTCGTACGGTGCCGGTCGCCATGCCCGCTCAATGCTGCTGTCGTTCCAGGTGTTGGTGTCGACGTGGATCTCTTTCTCCGGCTGCGGGGTCAACGCAGCAATGGCGCTGCTGGTCAACACGAAGCGCTTGACGCTCGGTTCCTTGGCGGCGCTGTTCAGGATGTTACGGAGGGCCTCCAGCATAGGAGTGATGACCTTGTTGGGATCGCTACCGAAGGACAGGTCGCTGGCCACGTGGGCGATGCCATCGACGCCGCAGATGGCATCGTTGAAGGCCCCCGGAGCGGAGATGTTCGGCACCACCGCCGTCTCGAAGGAGGCGTCTGGATAGCGCTTCGCGATGGCTTCGGTAATCCAATCCGCCTTCTCCTGGGATCGCACCGTGCCTCGAACCTTGTAGCCGCGCTCAAGCAGGTTGAGGGCAAGGTGCGAGGCCAAGAAGCCATTCACACCGGTGACCAAGACGAGGCCACCAGGAGGGACAGTGGTAGGCGCAAGGGAACCCATGATGGAGTTTCAGATGCCTTTTGATCAGAATGGAGAAAAGAAGCGACTGGCACGATGTACTGTGGAGTGTTCGGTATTCCAATTTGACTCTGGTCTGCCAACCGACGAGACGTGCCTTGATATAAGTGTATGATGTCTGGTAGTAGCACTTCTGGATGAAGCCTGTAACAGTCCATTTGCTGGAGTACGAACAATACAAGTTCAACAAGCGTACAACCTCAGCAACCGCGTTCTAGTGGCGGTCATGGCTGCTCCTGGACTCCGGCGACGTCCAACTCCGATTGTGCGTTAGCCCCGGAGAAGGGGCCACTCTCGCAATCCGACATGATTTGTAAATCCCCGTCACCTACATTTGATCTGTCTCCGGCTTTGTCGTTCTTTTATGCTTCAAACTCCGAACACACTACAGAGGTGCTTCGTCCTGCTTCCACGGGGCTCCATGCCACTCCGGCAGCAGGAGGTTTTGGATGCCGTGGCTGAGAGGGACCCAGGTCCATATGGAAAGGCACGCGGAGCTGAATCTATCACGGCCAGAAATTAATATCATCAAGCTGCATGCTCTGACCATTTCACAAGTTCAGTTCTTCGGTTGAGAAACGATGTTCTGGCCTCTTTCGGCCCTACTGCTCCCTGCCCTTGCGGGTGCCTTTCGCCACGGCCACGCACGAAACAACACCTTCGACTATGTGATTGTCGGGGGAGGCACTGCAGGGATTCCCATCGGAACACGGCTGGCCCAGGCAGGATACGAGGTGGCCATCGTCGAGGCTGGTGGCTGGTATGAGGACTCGGAACCCATAATCTCATCCACTCCAGCCTTTGGTTTCGCGAACAATGCTGCCAATGACTGGGGCTTCATGGTCGAGCCCCAGCCGGGGATGGGGGGAAGAGTCTTCGGCTATCCCCGCGGGAAATGCGTGGGAGGCTCCAGTGCACGCAAGTGAGGAACCGCCGTCATGAACTTTATTGGAAAACTTCCAATGCTGACTGATGATAGTGCAATGATCTACCAGAGGTACTGACCTTCCCATACGCTCGTCCCATAGTAGCCAGCTGCTAAGGAAATACACCAGAGCCCCTGTCGGCGCATTTCAGAGATGGGCCGACCAGGTCGGGGACCAAAGCTACGCATGGTCTGAATTCGAGCGGTTTTTCAAAAAGGGCACGAACTTCACAGCCCCAGATCCCGATCGCCGAGCCCACAATGCGACCCCGGGATACCATCCAGGCGCATTCTCGTCCGGCGGTGGTCCGCTGACGGTGACGTACGCCAACTGGGCCTCGCCGATCTCCAGGTGATAATCCATCGCTCTCCTAATGTCGACTGCCAATGAAGGAATTGCTGACACCTCGCAGTTGGATCCAACGGGCTATGAGGGCCGTTGGAATTAACGATGCTGGTGACTTCAACAGTGGTCGTATCATGGGTTCGCAGTATTTCGCGTTGACAACCATCCCGGAGACGCAGGAGCGCGCCTCCGCCGCCAATACATATCTGAAGGAATTTCAAGATCTCCCCAACCTCACCGTCTATACAGAGACATTAGCGAAGCGAATCCTCTTCGATGATACTAAGACCGCCACGGGAGTGGTGGTGGAGATGGCTGGCCTGGAGCACACGCTCGCCATCGACAAGGAGGTTATCCTATCGGCTGGGGCCTTCCAGTCGCCTCAACTGCTGATGGTCTCCGGAGTCGGTCCGGCGAGTACTCTGGATTCCCTCGACATTCCGATTGTTCATGATAGTCCGTACGTGGGACAGAATTTGATCGATCACGTCTGGTTTGGAGCGGCCTATCGCGTCAACGTCCCGACGTGGACCAAATGGGCCAACGATGCGTTCGACATGCTTCGGCTCTACGTCGATAATTATCGCCAGCATCGACAGGGCCCCTTGACGGCGAACGCGGGCGACTTTGGTGCTTTCGAAAAAGTCCCCAGTCATCTTCGTGCCGCATTTACCCCGAAAACTCTCCAAGACCTGGCAGAGTTCCCGGAAGATTGGCCGGAAGTGGAGGTAAGCACCGCATCACCTTGTGAATCAAACTTCCACAGGTCACGCATAACCAATTCCCAGTACATCGTCTCCCCAATGTACCTGGGCGATTTCAACGACCCGCTGGGCCGCCAGCCGAAAGACGGCTACCAGTACGCGTCCATCACCGCGGCCCTCGTCGCCCCCGTATCGCTGGGCAACGTCACCATCCAGTCCGCCGACACCCGCGATCCGCCTGTCATCAACACCAACACGCTGGGCTCTCCCACCGACCAGCAAGTCGCCATCGCCGCCTTTAAGCGTCTGCGAGAGATTTTCGAGGCTCCGGAGTTGGCGCCCGTTCGCCTCGGTGACGAGTATTACCCAGGGAAACATTCAGTTCGGACCGATGCGGAGATCTTCCAATTCATCCAGCAGAACGGCCTGGCTTTCTACCACGCTGGGTCTTCGTGCGCCATGGGGGATCCTGAAGCAGTTAACAGCACGGCTGTGGTGGACAGCAAGGCACGGGTGATTGGCATCAATGGTGTGAGGGTTGTGGATGCTGCGTATGTCATGGTTCCTCTGCACGCTGCGTGGACCCTACATTGTGTGTGATACTGATATCATGACAGAACTTTGCCGTTCTTGCCTCCCAGTCATATTCAAAGTGCGATCTGTATGTCCATTGATCTGTCCTCAGGCTCCTCCAAACATGTGCTGTATCCACTAACCCGCTGTCTCAGATGCCCTGGCCGAAAAGATTGCCGAAGAGATCATCAATGAAGAAGCAAATGAACCCGCACGAGTGGAATTGTAACCCGGTGGTTATTTTTAGTAGGTAAATTATATCATTCCTTTTCTCATTTTCTTTTTCTTTTGAAGCATATTTTTGTTCCTTTTCAATAAATCGGTAAAAAGATGAGTCCCTTATTAGCATCTGTTACTAGTCACCTGTATTGTAAAAAATGGACTTCCACTTGGTATCAATCACTCAGGACTGCCTTTTCAAAAACATGTGTAGGAGAGCTATGCTTTTAGTTATCATACTTTTTGAACTCGAGAGATGTAGGCATTGAATTCTTGTCAGTCAATATACTTTGTTGTTGGAATACTTAACGAGCTGATTTGACTGTTGATGGCCTCAGCTTGGGACGACCATGCTTTACTTTGACATGTCAGTCCATTTAATGGCTTTAACACTTTTGACTCTTTTTATCAGAATGACAATGATTGGTCTGACATGACGAGCAAGCGCTGCCAGAGTGAAGACAGATGCTGCAGTCGATACTGGCTTTTTCCAATCCCACCAAGCTGTTGGAAAACGAAATAGTAACTTCTTCGCCTTCTGGCTTCCAGTGAGGTCTGATCACTCTGATGGCCCAAGATGGCCAATTTGGGACAGAAACTCTATGAAAGAGTGGAGGCTAAACGGGTGAGGAGCTCTCTGATCTAAGACTTTTTCAAGAGTCGGCAAAGCCTGTGAGAAGAGCTTTTAGATTCCATAATTTCCATTCTCCAAAAATAATAAGAATGAGTTAGCTTAAAGATGTAGGCTGCTAACCACCAAGGATAGGATCTTAATATATAATAAAGATTATATATTATAATTATCCCCACATCCTCAGCTTGACTCCATTACTTTAAGCTATGATTAGTAGATTTTCTAATCTATTCCTGAGCTTGCCTGGCATAAAGGCTTATAATGTTATATTTAAAATACCAAAGTTTAACTGATTCTTTTAAGGCGCTGGGCTTAGCCTACAGAGCACCATAAATAGCAGATCACTAGCTTAACCTATGATTATGGATTAACTACCGAATCAAGAAGTAGGCTAGTAGCTATGACCTTAATTAAATCCAGGGGTATGTGGTCATACCTGGTATAGCAGAATCTAATCATGTGATCTTTACTTAGTAGATAGCTCCTACTGTGTATAGTACATAGAAATGAATTAACAAAATATCTTCATATTCTTCCCTTCATCTTGATTCTTCTACATCCATGATCCATCACCATAACACCAGTACCACTCCCCTTCCCCATTACAATACCGTATAATCGCCCACTTCCCCATAAGCTTGATACGATTCTCAACTACTCGATGGGGAGGTTCCGCCACTCAGGGTCGATCACTGCGTAAGGTCTGGCCAATAGCCAGGTGTTCGGGCGTACCATACTTCGTAAACTGAGATCCATCATCGAGGCAATCTTGGCTCATCTCAAATAATCTCCACAGGAGCTGAAAGAACCAGGTTCGGTCTATGCTAGTAACGAATGAGAATGAGAAGCGCAGGAAGCAAATTCCATGGAGATAGATAGCAGACAGTCTTTCAACATTGATATACGGATAAATTGCCTCTCTTTCTTTAACTGCTCCCCACGACGCGAAAGTGAGTGGATCATAATCAATGGCTATTTATTCTAGCCCTCTCCATGTTAACAAAGGTGAGACATGCATAGTTTTACCACAGCTAGTCGATAGCACATGATCTTGATCCGAATGCTGATTCAACTAATGTTGTTGTGAAACCGAGCTGGTCTAGAAAAGATCTGCTTGAGACGCGAATGGAATAATTACAGAATACCTGCTATTGCAACGTCCAAGTACATTCGAGGGTTATGCGATGTTATCAGTTCAAACGGAGAACAGGGGGCAGTTGGGACGGCTGCGGCAGCTGATTCTATACACCTACTCTTCGAATAGATGGATCATACTCGAGAGCCGTCCTCCTTTGGATTGCGGGACAACTCTGATCTCCCCAAAGTTATCAGCAAGCGGTGCTTTCTGCCCTTGCTCTTCTTTTTCAGCTGAATGCAGTTCATACAGGTGTATGTGTTCCTAGCCTCGCTAAGGAGATATCAATCCCAGCCACCTCTTTCTTTCCAACGTGATGGACCCTCTCCGATAGTAAAAGTGGGTGATTTAGGAAATACTAGGTCCCTTCGACTATATTCTCAGGATTTTGTGGACAAGTACAGTGCTGTCACAAAGTACAACAAAATCCGCGTCCAGAGTTTTCTCACGCGCACCAGAGGCCTGGCAGGCTTGGGATGCTTTCATTCATCCGATTGTGGTCTTTTGGTGTTACTGTATGTCGGACTCTTATCTATAGAGACGCAGGCTAATCGGGAAGGGAACTCGGTACATTAGCTGGCTTCAGAGCTCTATATTCAGGGCCAAACACAAGATAGTCGAAAACATGACGGAGGCATGGTGCATTGCCAATCGACGTCTTGTTGGGCCGAGGACCCGTATTAGCAGCGATTACGAGGAGAAACTTTTCATGGCGGAATATTGGGAGTCGTCGACGTTTACACATCCGGATACTGGGATGGAGACTCCGTTCTTAAAGGTAGGTTCCGACGCGAAGAGCTGGAAAGTTACCAGGGCCGAAGATCTCGGCCGATTTAATGGATTTCATTGAGTTCTTATGGTGGATCATGCGACATCCGTATTTGAAGTCCGTTGAAGCTTCGGAATGCATGTGACGAGCAGTTCATTGACATACAACATTATTCGGCCGGGTTTTTCTCCCATGAGAGCTGTTTTTAAATAGACAAGAGCGAGACTACCCCAGAACACGTTCCCTCTGCCTCCTAGTCTCAAAAGTCAGCGACTCCTCGCTCCCCCCGCTCAAGGAGTCCTGCTCCCTCACGCCAACACCAGCAAACTTCTTCTGCCCCAACGGCTGCAGACACAACTGGCTCGAGTTGTCTCCCAGGCGGTGGAATCCGCCACCCGAAGCGGAGGGATCAGCCTTGGGCCCCGCAGACGGGGTCGAGGACTTGGGCCCTGTTCCGTTGGGCGTGTAGGCCGAGCGACCCAGTAGCGGTCGCATCATCGGGACCGAAGCAAGGATGACGGCGAGACAGGGCTCCAGGCCACTGAAGATGTTGGCGCGGGGGATCGTGTAGGTGATGTCGGTGAAGTCCATCGAGGAGAGCACCGAGATACGGAGCGCGCTGATGACGCAGGTGCTGGTTTGATCAGTATCTGAACAAGAGAAATGGAACGACACAGTGGGATTGAGGGGCTTACACTACTCCCAATCCAAAGACGGTAATCAGGGTCACCTTCTTGTACGTTGCCATCTGCAGCCGGTATAGCGACGGCATCGGCGTCACGAGCACGGCCACGTCAGTAACGAGATTGATCACCCCCGTCACCGTGAACGAGGTGACCTGGTCTCCGCACGATCCACCAGGGATAGTCTGGTCCCAGTTGAAGGCAAAGGGCCGGCAGATGAGACACCCAGCCAGGATTGTCGCGATGGCCCAAGCGACAATGACGCCGATGGTGGCCCAGGCGATCCGTACGACCCGCACGACGGGGAAGATGCGGAGATACAGCAGCAAAATGGAGATTTTGGTGCAGCTGAGGCTTAGCACCCATGTGAACTGCAGCGGGATGATCAGCTGGAATAGCTTAGTGACGGGCTCCATCCCGTAGACGGCCACGATGGACAGCATATGGTCGAAGCCGATACCGGCTTGGAATACGCCGGTGATACTGATTGACTGGAGACCGACCGCGAAGAACTAAGACAGATGTATAAGTCATTGTATATGATTAAGAAGGGATCTGGCTTACACAGGCGGCAATTAGGAAGTAATCACTCGCAGTCCATGGTTTATGCGCAATATGATGGGCCAACAAGCGCAAGGACACTGCGACGACGGCCAGGATCGAGAAAGTGAGGGCCACAGCAAGCACAGCCCTTTGATCCCGGGTCTGGATAGGAAAAATGACCGTCATCTCTTAAGCGACAGGCTGCGAGGAACTGGCAGATGTGGAGAGAGGTGGATTCCTTCATGTCCCCGTCAGGGAATGTCCAGGGTTAAATGCAGAAACATTGCAGGGATTAGAGATAGAATCTTTCTTTCCAGGGGGCCAGGCCAGGCCCACTTTCCGTGCTTTTGGCGTTGCTTCAGCCTTGTTGTGACATTTACCGTTGACGGGTGCATGACAGGTACACTGTACGCTCTCTACATACTAACCACTAGTCCTAGAAACTTGCGGCATATCGTGTCATGACTCGAGCAATCCAACACGTACAGTAACATATCACAATTGCCAATTGAATTTATGAGACGTCTCCTGAAAACAATCGGAATATGAGTGCCCTGTTTCTGCGGACCCCAAATGCTCGGCGCCGATCCGTCATGCCCTAGTCCTATGACCTATGCTTGGCCTGCTTCACGTCGTAGAAATGACCTCTCCACATCGGCGGATCACACTGTCTTTCGCTTAGTGTCTTATGAGGGACGAGATCGGCAGAGTTAGTCGAGACTTCAAGAGGATAATGCCGGCGAAATGCCGGTGAAACGGTTGGCGGCGTCGCACTGTAGACTAACTAAGTACTAGATCGAGTACTAGTCGCATGCCAAACTCGAGCTCTCCAACCACTCGACTAAACAAGGCGTCTAGACGACCATTTAGCCTGGAGAATAGTAATGTGATTAATAACGGCTCCAACAAACTCCTCCCCGGCCAACTGCCGAAACTGCAGTTGACATTGATAGCCCACTGCCATTCTCCTCCACAACACATCTCAACATCTATTGACAACATCCATTGACCTCAATATGGCTGCCACTTCTGTTGTGGTTGTCATCGTCATAGGACTGTTGACAGTGTTGTATATCAGCAGAAAGAATGGCAAGAAGGCGGACAAACTGCTTAAACTCCCACTTATTGGCGACCTCCATAGCTCGCCTATTGAAAAACCCCTGGCAAACTGGGCCTCCTGGGCCAAACAGAATGGCCCGATAGCAGTCCCCAAACTATTTGGGATTATCCCAATCGTCGTGCTCAACTCGTACGAGGCCGCGACAGAGTTGTTCAGCCGCCGCAGCCAGTGGTACAGCAACCGGCCGCCCTCGGTCAGCATGGAGATGATCACCGGCGCTCCACCAGGCCAGTCTCGCTTCACGCTGATGCACGACTACGACGACCATCTCAAGCTGCACCACCGCATCCTCTCCCCCAGTCTCGGCGCGCTCGCCGCACCAAAGTACCAGCCCCTGATGGAACTCGAAGCCAAACAGCTGCTGCACGACCTAGTCAACGCCTTGCAGCACTGTCCAGACGGCACCACCATCAGCACCGACGCCATCTACCCGCTGCTGGAACGCACCCAGTCCAGCGTCATCCTAGCGCTACACTACGGCTTGCGCATCCCGCACCCCGACGAGCACATTCTGCACGAAGTCATCGACATCCAGGTCCAGGTCACCCACCTCGCCGCTAACCCGGCCCTACCCGATCTCATCCCACCCCTACGCCACCTCCCCGCCATCCTCTCCCCCTGGAAGCGCGCAGCAGACCGCCTCTACGCCGCCCAGGTCGACCTCTACATGCGCCTCTTCCACCACGGTCGGGACGCCGCGGGCTGGAACGCAACAAAGCAGGCCCTCTCCACCGCAGCCAAGTACGCCCCTGCCTCCTCCCCGTCGTCCCAAGTCCCAGTCCCAGTCCCAGTCCCTGACCTCGACCTCGCCTTCACCCTCGCCACCTCCATCCAAGGCGGCATGGAGACCTCCCCGCGCCAGCTCCTCTGGCTCTTCATCGCCGCACTGCACCAGCCGTCCTTTGTCGCGCGCGCGCACGCCCTCCTCGACGAGGTCGTCGGCCGGGACCGCCTCCCCCGCTTCTCGGACCGTGCCCGGCTCGCATTCATCGACGCCGTCGCGCATGAGCTCTTCCGATGGCGGCCGATCGCGCCGGGGTCCATCCCGCGCCGCGCAGACCGGGACGACGAGTTCCAGGGCGTGAAGATCAACAAGGGCGTGACTATCATGGCGAATGCGTGGGGGATCGGGCGCGACGAGCAGGTGTTTGACCCTGCGCTTGGGGACCTGCAGGAGTTCGTTCCGCAGAGGTGGTTGCGGGAGGGTGAAGCTGGAGAAGAAAGATTGCGGAGTGACCTTCCGCTACCGGTGTTTGGGCAGGGAAGGCGGATCTGTCAGGGGAGGAGGGTGGCGATTGATGGGACGTTTATGCAGGTTGCTAGTTTGCTTTGGGCGTTTGATGTTGAGATGGTGGATGGGGCGGGACCGGTGGATCCGTGGGAGATGGTTGTTGTGGGATTCATGACTATGCCGAGGGAAAGAAGATTCAAGCTGAAGCCTAGAGGGGATTGGGTGTTGGATGTGATCAAAAGAGAGTGGGAGACGGCGGAGAAGAGTCTGGATAAGGTCATGGGGACGAATGATGTTGAGTGATCACAGCTGGTATACAGGACAATCAATTGACAGACAAATACCCATAACGTAATCCACAACCGAGCGGCACACGATCTTGACCATGGTTGGAGAACCATGAAATATCTTACAACTACGCAATAAAATGAAAGCCTTTTCTCAAAGATAAAAGAATTGTATTATCTCCTAGGGCAGCTGGTTCTAATATGACCAATTTGATGGCAGTTACTGCATCGTGGTGGCGCACGCTTTCTAGGAATCGGATCCTCTAAGCCCATTCTCTGTATTGCTTCTTGAGCAAGTTGTTGACCTTCAGACCCTGTCAGAACGCCCCCAGTAGCAATAAAAGATCTGGGGGCTGTACGCTTTCACTTTTGTACCTCATTTGCTGCACAAAGCTCCTTTACCTCCTGATCTAGTAGGAGGACTTTATGCATGGTACATTCAGCTGATTTTGCTAGCTGACGGATTGCTTCATTTGGAGGACTTTCAGAGTTGCGATTGGTCAGTTGTTTGATGAGGTGCATCTGCTTTTGTACCTCAGCAGTTGTATAAGGAGTCTTTGCAGTCCATGCCTGATCTGAAGGCCCATGGGCAGTAGATGGTGGTGTAATATGCTTGATAGTAAGCTTATCCAACACCCGTTGGCAATTCAATGGAACAAGACCAGAGGCTTCAAATCCACTGCGGATATTTTTGGACGATAAGGCCTTTCGTGCTTCTCTATAAAGAGTCAGAAAGTTCTCCTTATCAATATGATTAATGCCCTTTCGAATGCTGCTCATCACCTGCATGCCATATGCCTCCTTTAGAGGTGCAAAACAGCCAACATCAAGCGGTTGTAGCTTATGAGATGAATGAGAAGGCATATAAAGAGGGATGATATGATGATTCTTGCAGAAAAGATCAAACTCTGCAGATTCGTGGCTAGCATGGCCATCTAGAATCAGAAGCCGATGTCTCCCTAGCGTACGCTGCGCAGTATGCTTTTCAAAGACCTTTTCCAACCATAATAATCCAAGCTCATTATTGGTTCATCCATTATCACTTAGACTAATCACCCAATCAGGGTTGATGTCTTGATACCATTGAGATTGATGGACCTTGCCAGAGAAGATGATCATGGGGGGAAGAGACCATCCAGAAGCATTGATGGATTCAATGACAGTAACCCATTCGCAATTTCCTGGTTGTATAGCTTGTACACAGCTATTTCGATGACGTGATGCAGTAATAACCTTTGCTGTAGAGGCCACACCCATTTGGAAGCCAGTTTCGTCAAAGTTGTAGATATCCTGTTCAAGAATACCATATTTTACTATAGTATTCTGGACTACGTTGAACCACTGCTTGATGATCTCTGGATCCTCACATTTTGCACGCTGATAATCATATTTGCAGGTGTATTTTGATATAAGATCATCATGCCGTTTGATGAAGTTGCTGACCCAGTTCTTTCCAGTTGATGTGCCAGGTTTCTGATGAGAAAGTAATAAATCTGCCATCTTGCGTACAGTAGCATGAGTTGGTGGTAGGCCACGCTCATCCATATCAAGGATCCATTTCTTCAAAGAAGCTTCCTCAAGATTGCTAAGCTTCTGGCAGTTTACTGGTACATCAGTCCGTGATTTTCGACCGTTGATTCGGTATGTAAGTGTGCGGTAGGGAACATCATATGCTGCTGCTGCGGCACGAATACTTTTGAACTGGCCATTCTTAAATGCTTTTAGTGCAAGCTGTATTCAATCTTCTGATTTGATCACTGGATCTGCAGTCTTTTGTGGCATGATAATAGTTGTCTGGCTCTGCGAAGCAAGTCAGGGGCGAAGGAGCTGAGGTGGCCGAAACTGTGTGCCGCTCGGTTGTGGATTACGTTATTGATGACTGCTTATGAATCACTGCTTAAAGTCCGCAGAAAAGCGATGATGATCAGCCTACTCGCATGGATCCGCGTACTGATACTCTGCAACCCTTTCCTCGAAAAGTTTGTCTTCCCAATTGAGTATGCTATTAGGTTGAAATCTCCATGTTAAGAGGCTTCATACAACGACCGACGCCATTATACAATCACTGACAGATGACTCTCAATGCGTTGCTATCCGAAGAAAGACATACTATAGCTGACAATAGTCTGTCACACAACCACGTGACATCTTCAACGTCGGTGGATCAACAATGATTACACTTATGCATAGAAAAAGTCTTCCAACGCTCGGGTGAATTGATCGGGGTCCTGCAGCGGTGCGAAATGGCTGACGTTCTTGAGAATGACCAAACTGCTGCCCGGGATGGCGGCGTGCAGCTTAGCCGGGACATCCAGATTCACCGCTTCGTCGTACTGGGCGCCCGCAATCCTGACCCGGGAGCCGTCGATGGTGCGCAGCTGGGCCTTGGTGAATTGTGGCAGAGTAGCCTCCAGAGTCGCTACCTTGGTCGCGAATGAGGTGAAGTTGGCCTGGGGCTGGAGATGGCTGTACTCCTTCGCGCAGCGACTAACGAACTCGGAATAGATGTCCGTATTCGGGAAATTTGGGTTCGAATCGGAGGGGACCATGAAAGTACCGAAGAGGAATGCCTTCTCGATCGTAGGGGATATCTTGCGGTTCAGCAGGGCGGAGATGGTGGTTGCGCCGCCGTCGGACCAGCCGACTACATTGTACTTGGAGACACCCACGGCCTTTAGCTGCTCGTAGATATTGTTGGCAAAGAGGTCGAATGTGAAGACGTCGTCTTCCTTGAACGTGCTGCGGCCGTGCCCGCGGCGGTCGAGGGCGATTACATAGTGTCCCTTCGCGATCAGTCGGCTCAGGACTGCACCGAAGTAGGCCGAGTAGCCTAGGCCGCCGTGATCAAAGACCAAAGGTGTTTTGCGGGCATCTTCATTGTACTTTTGGATCCACAGCTCAACGCCGTCCACGGGAATTCTGGCCTTGCTGATTGGGGCAGGAAGGGTGGTGTTGGCGGCAGAGTGAGCCAAACCGGGGTAGCCCGTTCAGCAATAGCTAGACCTTGAGCTATTCCGCTGAGGAGAAGTGAGGCGAGCAAAGGGATCTTGATCATCTTGGAAGGATATCAGACTAGAAACTGAGGTAGATGCGCTGGACGAGAGCCTATAGAGGAGATGAGAGTGATGAATGGCCATGACGCTGCCAGACGGATCTCGATGTCTTAATATACCCTTCTTCAAGCGACTCATTACTATAATAGACTTTCGCGCTGAATCCTTCGAAAGTCCAGAGTACACAGGACTTCCGTACAGGAACCATCCGGGTCGGCGCAGGACTGCTCCGGGAGCAATCAGGATATGCACGTCTCACTCTAATCATAATCCAGCTCTTTCAGTGAGTAAAGCGGCGCTATTTTGGACTGGATCCGGCGAAATATCGTTCGATAGGGCCAGGCATCGAGAGGAATCAATTACATTTCCTAAAACGCAGCTCGCGTCGCGCGTCCATCACGTGACTCTAATCCGCATCCATTCCTTGCCATTTCCGGCCTAGTGCGGCCATCAGCTTCATATCATCAAAACAAAAGACCAACAATAGACAAGTAAAGGTGATGATTGGCAATAACAAGGCTGCGATCGACAATCAGTCTGGGTTCAATAGACTTGTCTAGCCCTTTTTGTTTGTGAGGCTACAGTCTGCTAATTATCCGACATCAATTGAGTTGCCCAGTCCAGCGCAGTCTGATCCCCAGGTGAATCAACGGAGACGATCAAAATGGTCAGTTCCAATTGACAAACCTCCAGAAGCATCTTGACCCAACTGACGTTTCCTAGCGCTCATCCTTCCGCCGTCTAGCCGCAGATCACGCTGCATTGCACGAGGAGCTCCCTCCAAACTACCTTTTCCCGACAGAAGAATCATCCGATGATCTGACCCAACTCACCACCCTGCTGGCCGGTCCGCAGGGCACACCCTACTCCCAGGGTCTGTGGCGATTACACTTGAAGATGCCAGAGGATTACCCGAAGAGTCCGCCCAAGGCGACATTCAAGACCCGCATATGGCATCCAAACGTGGAGGAGTCGACCGGCGCCGTGTGCGTGGATACACTAAAGAGGGATTGGAAGTCGACCTTGACGTTGAAGGATGTCCTAGTCGTGCGTGTCCTACTCACAACCTAGCAAAAAAGAAAGCGACTGATCTGACTTCCTTGACTAGACCATCTCCTGTCTCCTCATCTACCCTAACCCCGACTCCGCGCTGAATTCCACGGCCGGCGCTCTCCTGCAGGAAGACTACGATGCGTTCGCGCGTCAGGCGAAGCTCATGACATCGATCCACGCCCCGGTCCCACCAGATCTAAAAACCGCAGTTGTAGAGGCGAAATCGAGGGGCGAGGAGGCCGGCACACTCATCCCAGAGCACGAGGGCACCCGCTGTCTGCGATCACGCACAGGAACAAGAGTCCAGTCCTTGACGATGAAAACGAAGAAGCCCAGTGTGACACCGCAGCCATCGAACCAAACCAATGCCAACGCCCTCGACAACCACCCAGAATCAGACGATGACAGCGACACTACCCGCCCTTCCACCTCCAAAGAAAACGACCCCTCCCTCTCCCCCTCCCCCGTGAAACTCGCCCCTCCCAGCCCCCGCAAAAACGCCCACGGCAAACGACCCCTCTCCGACCTCACCACATCCCTAGATCCAGAGCCGGATTCACCCATGGATCCCGATTTCGCATCCTCACGAACGACCGACAAGACAACCATGACCATGACCCCCTCAGAAAAGAACATCGCCGCCAATCACGCCCCGCACCGCGATTCCTCCCCACAGCCGCAACCGCAACGAAAATCCCCCAAGCTCTCCCTCCTCGACAAGGGCATCAACACCTCAGCCCGCATCCGCGACGACGTGATCATCATCTTCGAAGACGCCTCGGACCCTTCCGACCTACCGTCCCATCACAGCAACGACAGCAAGGAGAATCATGCTGCGCTCCATGCGTCCAGCCCGTCCGCGCGGAAGAGTCCGCACTACCCCACATCGCTTCTTGCCCCTTCCACGGCGGTTACCTGTCCGTCGGGCTCAAAGTCCAGAGCGGTGTCTGGTTCGCGGAAGGTCTCGTCCTCGAGCATGAAGGCAAAGCCTCGGATTGGGATACGCAGGTTATAGCCCGGTATTCAGCCGGTATATGTATGGATTTTCTGGTTACGTCTGTCTATACCACTGCGTGCTTCTGTGCGTCTTTGGGTTTTTCTGGTCTGTCTTGGCGTTGGAAAGGGCATATGCGACGCATTGGGACATGGTGGTGGTCATCTCTGCTAGAGATGAACTGCTAATAGTGATCCGGTTAGCGATTCCATCTTTATAGCTCATTATCAGTGACGGCTCGCACAGTATAGTATAGCATCGTGCTTCTGGATTCAGGATGACAATTTAGTGCATTATAGTCATCGTATAATAATAGCCAGTGGCAAGTTAACTACTAGAGCCTTCCCAGCGTCTGTCGGCAGCAAGCGAATTAGAGCCATCCGAAACCGCCAATCAAATAAGCTATGCAACTATTTAACATTGAAAACGTAGACAATTTCCCGCCCAGGTCTCACCTGCGGCCAGCTCTTCGAAGATGCTGTCGCGCAACTACCACGGTTACGCTTTGGACCACTCATTCGCGTCACCTCAAAGCACTTCTTGTCTTCCCCTAAGTTTCCACCACAAACATTTTGCAATTGACATCTGTTCGAAACAAGTCGCCATGTAACCGCGCTGTGAAATAGTATGCAAACAGCTCCAGTGGACAGGCGACTGACGGAATATTGCGTACCCATACACGAATCGATATTACAGCCATGAAGACCTGAAGTATAAACCTGCATGCATATTCGAGGATCTGAGTAAGCGACCTATTACAAGGCGTAAGGGTTGACGGAGCGAATAGTGAGACAACTACAAGACAGTGTTAGTAAGTACCCGAAATGGTAGAAAGCCACTGAGGACAACTTACGGAGGGCTCTTGGTCAAGTCAGTCTTGAGAATGATGGGAACCCGGGTCATCTCGGTCACATCCTGAATGTACTCTCCGTCCTCCTCGCGGAGCTTGAACAGTTTGAGGTACTTCTCCTTGTTGGTCAACTTGGCTTCCGGCACGTCATTGTTGCTGCTTGGCATCTTTGGATCGGACCGAGTACGGTGAGGAGTCTGCTGGAGATGGCCATTACGAGTCGGTGAAGGTGGCATGCTCTGAGTTGTGCGGTCAGCAGACGAGTTCAAAGAGACGCCCGCAGCCATCTCGGTGACCTCGGAGATATCGTCGTCATCGTCGAAGAGAGCATCGACATCATCGGCAGACATGGTTCCAGTCTCAGTCTGCTTGCGGATCGCCTCATCACGTTCGCGCGCACGCTCTCTTGCAGCCTCTGCTTCGCGAGCCGCGGCCGCAGCCTGAGCAGCACGAGAGTTGGCAGGTCTAGGCCGTTCGTCCTCTGGAATGTAGGCGGAAGACGGAACGCCCTTCTCCCAGTAGAGCTCCAGAACACGGGTCTCCTTCCGGTACTCGGCCTTCTTCAGAGGTAGTTGATCACAGTGGACACGCTTCTCGAAACCAAACTCGGGAATGAGGACATCGAAGGCCGACTCGTAGACACAAAGTACGATTCCCTCACTGATCAAGTCGCCACCGATCTCTTGTCTCTTCTTGTCCATACTACGGCAAGCCTCGATATGAACGCTCTGCTCCTGTGCATTGTGCGCCGAATCCTTCTTAGTATTGCACAGATCCGCCGTCTTGCTCAGAGACTCCACGTCATCTGAGAACTCGATTGCACCATTCGACAAGACGGCCTCGAGCTGACGGTGAACGATAATATCCGCATAGCGACGGGACGGGTTGGTGAAATGAGTATAGACGGGTAGGTTGAGGGTGTAGTGATGGCGCTGCTCATCCTGTACAGTGCTAGCCACATAGTATTTCGCACGCTGCATAGCCTTCAACAAAACAGTTTCCATACCCTAATCCCAGTCAGTATGTCAGTGGAATGAAGTAATGTCCTTAGCAAAGTTGAACACGAACCTTCCGCAGGTCATCATCCTGTACTTTGCAAAGGCTGCTCTGCAGAGTTCCACTGCTCGAAGGGTCAAAGTCGTAGCCGAGGCGATTCATCCTGTCAATGAAGGAATGAAGGCGGCGTGAGTTAGGCGATGGTTGACGGCGAAGGAAGGCCTTATCGGGCATGGCGGAAACCAATTTGCGGGCAACGAAGAAGTTTGCCTTGTGTCTCAATTCCTCCACCAGCTCGCGTGCATCAGTAGAATCGAAGATGTTCCTTTCTACAGGCACGTTCTCATCATCCAGCTGATGTAGAAGGCGCAGAGGTGGCGGGTTCGAGACACGGTTGCCAAACCTAGCTTCTCGAAACTTCTGTGTGATAGCCTATAACGCATAGTAAATTAGTGCTCAGTCCTGGAAGAGAAAATGAGGATAAAGGGTTACCGACATTCAGGGTCTGAATGGTGTTGGCGGAAATTCCGGCAACGGATACATTGGACTCTCCCTTAATCGCAAAGTTCACCTCGTCATAACTCAATCTGCCTGCACTCTTGACGATACTCTTGCCGATCCAAACATCGTCATCGACAGCGCCGGTTTCCGGATCAGCAGTGAATACAACGCTGACCGTAAGGCGATCCTGTTCTGGAAGGAGAGAGCAGAGCTCCGTAGAGACTCGCCGAGGGAGCATATTGACCAGTCGATCCATGAGGTAGACCGCCGTGCCTCGCTTCTTTGCTTCCCGGTCAACCAGAGAGTTCGCCTTCACAAAGTGGGCGATATCAGAAACGTGGATACCAATTTCGACCTTGCCATCGGCCAGGGGCTTAATGTGGTAGGCATTATCCAGCTCCATAGCTCCGCTTGGATCGACGGTGAAGGTGGTTTCCGAACGGAAATCCCGACGGGACTCAAGAAGCGCATCGCCTTCGCTGGCGACAGACCAGTCCTCCCAGCCGATACTCTTGAGCACGGCATCTGAGAACTCGTCGGCACCAAAGTTGTTGTCCCGGAGAAGAGCATCTGTTTCTACCTTCAAATCGCCCATTTCACCGAGCTGT